CTTAAAGTTCACTGATTAGTAATGGCCTTGATCATCAACATGTCTCTTGAAATAAGCAGCAAGCTTATCAAGATCTCCAAACATTCTTTTCCTGAACTTGAATCCCTTTGGATATAAACCGATATACTCATGGTGCGGGTTTGCGGATCGTATGTAAGACAATATAAAGCTCCCTGGATGTTCATGCGAAACACCAAAACTGTAAACTACCATTTTCGGATTTACGCCCTTCTCAACCCGAAGAAGATCATCTATTTCCGACTTTGTCCCAGTCCGAAATTTGCGGTAGTTTAGCATTGTCATAAGATGAGTTACCAAAGGATCAACATACCGATCCATTACCTGAAATTTTTTAAAACGAGTAAGTGTTTTCATTCGTATATCAAAACTGAAATTTATAAGAATATAAAGACGAACCTCATCTAGATCCTCGAAGGTTTCAATCCCAATTTTCAATGTTTTCCCAATACGTTGTAAGCTCACTATGTCCTTGTTCTCCTTCTCACCTTCGATTATCTCCTTGTTAGCATACACATTATCGAAAATCTTGATCATCAAAGTCAGATGATTCAGTCCTCGTGAGCTTGGACGAACAATGCTTTCTCCAATATTCTTATAAGACAAATACTCTGTTGCTTGCTCAGCAGTGATGTTCTGAAACCGAGGATGAACAATCATCCGAGACTTAAACTGCTTCTTCTCTTTAGGGGCTTTCTCTTTCTCTATCAGGACATTTTTTCGTTCCTCCTCGTGGTAATAATCATCGACATCCCGGAGATTCCTGTTCTTTCTCATTTCGCTTTCTTTGCAGACAAGTAACACATGATACCTTTGCTTTAGAATCGATTTGACCTTGCAAGTGACGATATAGCCTTCACACAGTTTGTTTGATAAATCAACGATATCTCTACCATCATCCGAGTAATCTTCCTTTAAGAGAATCCCAGGTAATCCACAATCTAATACACATTTGGCTTTACCACTTGATACTTTCTTAACAGTGGCCTGCACAATTCTCCCTTCACCAATAGTTTCTTTGGTTTCACCAGAAATCATATAAAACTCTTCATCTGGATCAACCTCTTTAAACAGACTTCGCCAATCCTGAAAACCACAGCTTAATTCTCTCATGATAAAACTATAAGTTTCCTTCTTATTCTCTTGGTTCTTGCTTCTCAAATACTCATCAAGAACGATTTTCCTCAAAGAAGCTGGCTCATCTCTTACATACTCTATCGCCATCTCTATTGCATCATCCTCATCATCTCTTACAGTATCATGAGTATAAACATCTTTCGCCAATTCTTGCGCAAGACCGTATGATTCCGGATGTATTCTAGTGTCATCCAACAAGTCAATAAATTGGCTGCTACTACAAGCCAACCCACTCCTACGAATCCGTAAGAAACCAGCTGCATTTACGAAAAGTTTTTTACCAATCCCATGATTTATCAGTTCCTTGCGGACAAATATCGAACCAGATCTAACAAGAGACCTCTGCAAAGATGCAGCTTTCCTAGGGCCAAGCCCTGAAACAAACTGTAAAGGAGCAAAAAGCCATTCATGGCTCGCAGCCAGATTAATGTCGATTCCAACTTGATTTGTTAAGTCAACCATAACTTGCTCAACCATCTCATACTTCTCATCTGGATCAAGAAAATCTTGCAAAGAATGTAGCTTCCATGACAAAATATCTTTACCTGGACCGCATAAGGTTGAGATCATTGCTAATGGATTCTGGAGATAACGTCCAAGAGCAACTGCGCGTTTCACAATCCCTGCCTGTTGAGGTAGTTGTTCTCTTGAGATTCTAGAATTTTCGTATAGCCTAGGAAGAGATTCATCCGCATAAACCACTGGTAAGTCATAAATCCCAGCTTCTACAACAGACGGCAGTTCTTCCACCATTTGGAATATAACCTCATAAATCTCATCCTTCAGACGTACACAACTCAAATTTGCAGCTGCTAAAGCCACAAGATTTGGTTGATGGTCTCTTATAAACTTTCGAAGACGATCTTGATCCTTCTTTTTACGTTTCTGGTCATTTACATCCCGAAACCGCAATGCAATGGATTCTGCGTAAAGCACATCAACCAACTCTCCCGATGAATCAAGCATCACAAATGTAGTTTCTGGATTTCCAGGTCCCCAACAACAAGCTAGGACCCTCGGCGCAGCTTCCTCATCCGAGGTATTATTATTATTCCTTCGATATGGCCCTGAAGACACTTTTTTCCATAAAACCTGTCCATACTCTGAAAGCAACCGAGTCTTCGCTCTGCTAGTTAGCAAGGATCTTGCTTCTTTCTCCATTGACGGCAAAAGAAAACCGTGAACCGCGTCCTCCAGTATCAATTTCCTCTGCTCATTCCAGAGTTGAGCATACTTACTAACACCAACACTTAGATAGTGTTCACTGCATTCACTAATTATCCTATTCATCTGATTCTCAGGCAGCTTGAAAGTTACTTGAAGAAGCTTCTCTTCTTCTGCTTTCTGAATAAGAAGCCATTGTGTACCTTCAAACTTTCTCAATGGCTTTTCGCGTAACCACTTAACCGCAGAAAACCGATGGAAAGAATCTATAACCACATCCCCATCTGGTGTTGGACTCGTTGAGACTACTGCATTCTCCATATAAATCCCGCGAACATACTTTTTAATCAATGGCTCGCAGCTTATCTCAACCGCAGCCACATGCCGTGCGCCTTTAAGAACAACTTGAGGATCTTCAAACATTGCACATTTATAGTACAATGCCATCTCCTCTGGTGTTTTCTTTGCATCTTCAAGCTCATCAACAAAAACTTTCTCAAGAGACAACGCAAATCCCAATTGCTCAGCGCTATAACCAAACTTGTTTGCAAATTCCCGGATTCCAAATTTGCTACAGATGCTATAATGCGATTTCCTATTCGGCCTCTTATACTGTCCTTCATCGATCTCACAATGAGGAAAATGCAAGTTGAACTTTGAGTCTACATCATCAACTTCTCTCTCTGTCTCCGCCGCTTTAAGAGACTTCATAACCGATTCAAAAAGACTCTTATTCAGATCAGACCTGCAGGTTTCTTCTTCAAAACGTTTGGTAAAGTAACCAAACAACGCGGTTTTCCTTTTCCGAAGAAGAAGCCACTTTCTATCCAAATCTTGAATCATCCAGAAGACTTTATTCCACTTGGTCTCAAGCTTCTTGAGAAGATTGAAATCACTACCATCATCATCAGAACTGTCCAACAAACTCCGACACTGCTCCTTCCGGTACATAGCTATAAACGGTATCTCTAACTTCTGCACATGAGACATCTCCAAAAATCTCACAATGTCATCTTTGTTAACCAAAAAACTTGGACCATGTTCTTGAACCAATCGAGCATAAATCCAGTTGCTCTCTTCTTCAATGCTAATATCATCGACGGGAGCGTTTCCAGTGACTTCTTCGAATATCTGCATTCTCTCAGGAACATCAAGCTTCCTAATTTCATCATCTTTCTGTGTCATATACTTCTCAGAGAGAACAATTGGTTCAAACTCATCTTCTAACTTTCTTTCGATCTTTTCGTTATACGCTAAATCCTTTCTCCGAAGTTTCAACAATTCTTCAGGATCACCAAATATATCATTAGCGTTAGCGTATCGTAAAGCGTTGGAATCAGTTCCTTGCTTGAATTTATTTATCTTCCTCCTCCATCCATGATCACCAGGAACATCCTCATCTACAATGAAGTGACTCAAATCATCATCATCATCCTCATTGATCTTATCTTCTTCCTCTTCCTCTGAAGATTTCTTCAAACGTTTATACTTGTTTCTTTGGAAATCGACGTTGTTATCTTCTAGAAGAAGATAATCATCTTCGTGAAGACTAAAGGCTTCGTCTTTCTTCCTTCGATTTCTACTCTTTTTCTCATTACAATGTCTCTGTTCTTCGTCTTCTTCTTCTTCTTCTTCTCCATCATCAGAACTATCCACTAAAAACCCATCTCCATACTCATACTGATCATGCTCATCTTCTTCTTCATCATCGTTGTCTCTATTCTCGACTGGGTCGTAGTGAATCTGTGGCTCTGTGTCAAAAACAGAGTCGAAACTTCAGAAGAAAGAAAAAACAGAGAATTAGGGATTTTAAAAGCAGAGCTTTTTATGTACCTTCGTTGATCCTCTGCATGATTATGTTAAAATATTTAGCTATATGAAATCGATGAAGGTGGTGATCAACCCTAAAAACTCTGTGATCGTGAAGATAGTAACAATTTGATTGTGATTTTTGCGAGGAGAAACAAAGAAGAAGGCTTTCGTAGTTCTAGGGTTCACAAAAGCATTAAGAGGCTACTAATTGCAGTTTTGAAACATTTCTTTAAAAAATCAAAATTATGGATCTCTTTGTAGCTAATATTTAATAAATATTATTATATTAAAATATATAAAATTCCTAATTCAATAATCTAAAAATATTTGTATTTGAATTTATTTTCGATTTACTAAAAGATTTATTTTCCATATTTATACAATCTTCGATTGATAATTTCTTATCACATTTCTTGACAAAGGGCTTTAATTTAAGCCTAGTTATTAAGGCGCTTAACGGTGCCAAAAAGAATGTTATTCTATTACATTAATGATTTTTAATTTAAAGGTTAGGTTATTTTCTTACACAATAGAATAATTAGAGGTTTACGAAAAATGAGAAAAAAAAAAAATGGAAAAATCAAACGGACTGAAATCACAGAGTATGCGATGTGTAACAAAAATGATGTATCCTGTTCATATTATCTAATAAAACAATTGGCCGACAAAAAAAAAAAAAGAAATCACAGAGTATGCATAGGCAGTTGCTTATTATTATTGTGTTCAGATTGCCTATTAATGATCCAATACAATTAAACTGGTCATCAACCTGAACCGGTCAACGAATCAATCCAATTAAATTAAACCGGTCATTGTGCCAATCCAATCAAACCGGTCGTCGTCTTTTGGTTGTCAAGGGCTCACTCACTCTCGTTAGCTCCACGAATCCGTTCAATTGTCAGAGTAAAATGTTGGCTAGGGTTTGTAGATCGGAATCTTCTTCTGCCAATGCTGCTGCTAGATTGATCAGCACGAGATTGATTCATCGTCGCGTCGCCCAGAAAGGTACAATTAGAAAGCGTCTACCTTCTTTGCCAGTCCATTGCAGTGGTCGCAAAGGAACTTTTGAAGGAGAGAGTTTGAAACTGAGAAGTGGATCTCATTATATCAAATGCTTTGATGATGCGATCGAATTGTTCGATGATATGGTTCGATCTCGTACCTTCTATCCGGCTGTTGATTTCAACAAACTAACGGGTGTCATCGTGAGAATGAAACGGCCCGATGTTGTGATTTCTCTCTATCAGAAGATGGAATTGCGGAGGATTCCAATTGATATCTACAGCTTCAGTATTCTCATAAAGTGTTTCTGCGACTGTCATAAGTTGTCTTTTGCTTTGTCGACATTCGGGAAGATCACTAAACTTGGTTTCCAGCCCAATGTTGTTACGTATAGCACGCTGCTCCATGGGTTATGTCTCGAAGATCGGATTTCTGAAGCCTTAGCTTTATTTGATCATATGGTTGAAACTGGATTAACACCCAATGTCGTAACGTTTAACACGTTAATGAACGGTCTTTGCCGTGAGGGTCGAGTTCTCCAAGCACTAGCTCTTGTTGATCGGATGGTTGAAAATGGTCATCAACCTGACGTAGTTACTTACGGAACAATTGTCAATGGAATGTGTAAGATGGGTGACACTGACTCGGCCTTGAATCTGCTTAGGAAGATGGAGGAACGCCACATCAAAGCCAATGTTGTAATCTATAGTGCCATCATTGATCACCTTTGCAAAGACGGACATCATAGCGATGCTCAAAATCTTTTCGCTGAAATGCATGACCAAGGAATTTTTCCCGATGTTCATACCTACAACTGTATGATAGACGCCTGTTGTAGTTCTGGTAAATGGAGTGATGCCAAGCAATTGTTGCGTGATATGATTGAAAGGCAAGTAAATCCTGATGTTGTAACTTTCAGTGCATTGATCAACGCATTTGTCAAAGAAGGGAAGCTCGTTGAGGCTGAAAAATTATACGAGGAGATGCTTCGTAGGGGTATATTTCCTAATACAATCACTTATACCTCAATGATCGATGGATTTTGCAAACTGAATCGTCTAGATGATGCAAAGCGTATGTTTGATTCGATAGCTAGCAAGGGCTGCTCTCCGGACGTAGTTACTTGTAGTACCCTAATTAATGGCTATTGTAAGGCTAAAAGGGTTGACGATGGAATGGAGATTTTCTGCGAGATGCATCGAAGAGGAATAGTTGCTACTACAGTTACTTACAATACTTTGATTCATGGGTTTTGTCAAATGGGTGATCTTAATGCCGCTCAAGACCTTCTCAATGAGATGATTTCTAGTGGTGTGGCTCCAGATTACATCACTTTCCACAGTATGTTGGCCGGCTTATGTAGGAAGAAGGAACTACGAAAGGCAGTGGCAATATTGGTGGATCTGCAGACGACTGTGGTATGTCCTTGACACATTTTTGTCCAGCTTATTTATTTTCCTTCTGGGTTTTTGAGAAGAATGTGTGCATATATATATCTAGCTTTGGCTTCAGAGCTATTGAAAGTACAAGTCAATTTTAAGATAGAGAGTCCAGATTAACCCTCTCTGATTAGCTTAGTGTGTTTGCTTTGCAGGATCATCATCTGGAGGATGAATGAAAGAATGGAAGATTCAATGCCATTTTGCTTCTTGCTTGATCGATTTCGATTCTGATGTTCCACTTACACTTGTTTTTTTTTTTTTTTTGTCGTGTTTATTTATGTTACTGTTGAAATGAGATAAGTTATGAGATGGTCAATTTTACAAAAAGAACTTGTTGGATATGCCTTCTTAATTCATTTGCTAAGTTCATCTTTATACTTTGTTCTGATGTCTCTATTGAAGATTGCTTCTGTCTTTCTTTGGGGCTGCTGCTCAATCAGGTACGTGTCTCTTTGCAACACATGTAGACTGGATTGAATAGTTGCAGATTTGGACTATATAGTATAACAATACTGCATGTTTCATGACTTTCTGGACAAGAATGTGAAACAGAGATCCCAAAGAGCATGTAAGAATGCGATTGAATGAACCAGTGTGTGCTTAATGAATGGAAGACTCTGTCTTCTCTAGAGACTTTTAATGGAGCTTAAAGAATGATGAAACATTTACTCATATGAGTGGAGCCATTAGTCTGTTTTGAGTCGTAACCGACTCTGCAACCTGAAACAGAGCATGAAATGAACTTGCTTGGCTTCTGCAATCTAATCTTTTTCAGATATTTTGTGTGCGTCAGAGAGAGATAGCATGATCGGGGTTAGGGTTCTTCTCTTGTTCTTCTATTTCTTCTTCTTCTTGTAATCGGATTGGTTTGTTATCGGCGAAGCGTGTGAGAGACAATATTGATAAACCGGTCACTGTGCCAATCCAATTGAACGGATTCGTGGTTTTGTGATTCTCAAGGGTTCACACTTTACTACACACACTCTTGTTTGCTCCATCGTCGTAGTTAGAGATCGAGAAAGAACATGAAATCTGAAGCCTGCTCTAAATATCTCAGACCATTGGTCACATTGTTTGTTCTTGAGAATGATGGGATGTTTGCAGAAGGCATTTACTTCTGATGGCAAAAAGTCAGAAAGGCATGTGAGTAGTCTCAGACTGTAACAGTTCAGGTAATGTCATATCATCAGAGTTTTTTTGGCTTCAGGTGGAGGAATGGTTACTTCATAAGGTTTCTCAGGTGATTACATATTGTTAATGATCTGAGTGGTTTTGCTAGCTTACATGGTTTTTCATTTCTTGTCTTTGTGAAACTTATTTTGGTTTTGTTTCTGTTTTGTTTCCTTAGTTTCATAAGTCCCCTTCTCCACGACCACTTTTGTTTTTGGGCTGCTTCAACGATACTTTTTTATCAGTCGTCTTAGTTACTAAATATTCAATTTTTGTTTCTGTGTTTTGTACAAGAGAAAATTTCAACTGAAGCCACATCTTCCTTTTTCAGTCGGTTTAACTTTATCAACGAACCGGTCAACGAACCAGTCCAATTAAATTAAACCGGTCATTGTGCCAATCTAATTGAACCGATCGTCGTTTTCTGGTTGTCAAGTGCTGGACTCACTCTCATTAGCTCGTTGAATGACACGGAGTCACACGTAATTCCACAAGTAGTTCAGATTGAGGTTCAAAGTTGATGAATACGATTAAGAATTGGTGAAGAAGAATTTGGTCAAGCTTTGCCTTTTTCTTTTGATCAACGAACCGGTCAAGCTTAACATCGGAAGAATTGTGTATTTGAGAAAGTAAAAAAAAAAGTGGTGACGTGGAGGCCTAGGTGGCACAGTGAAGCGAAGATTGGGAACGAACCAGAGGGTTCCGTTGTTGAAGAGAGAGTGAGATTCGAGGCTAAGAGGTTAACAATGGTGGGATCGAAGCAAACTGGGAAACTGATCCATGCAATGGCGAGTTCAAGTGCAGAACTTAATTAATCGATTTCACATAATCAGGTACCAATTTCTGTATTCAACGGTGATTCTCCGTATTAAGCATCATCTCTTTGGGTTGTTTTAGAGGGACTTTCAAACACAACACAAGGACACACTTGGTATTCAACGGTGATTCTCCGTATTAAGCATCATGGAATGAAGTCTATGCTGTTTCATTCTCTTCAGGGAATGCAAGTTTCAGGTCTTGCTGTTGTTACTGCAGAATGTGGGAATAGAAAGAAACTTCTTGGGACTGCAATACTCCAGGTTTGGCATCGTTTAAAGAACACATGGCTGACAAGTTACACACAGTTTCATCTCGTGCTATTTTTTATGGTCCATCCAAAGGTCGAGATTGCTGAAGGGGTTCAGGATATGTGTAAATTTTGCAATACAGGCTTCACCAGACACAACAACGTGACATCGATTCCAACAAATTTCCCTACAGTTTTGGCTCAATATTATATGAATCTGTAACTGCAAAATCAACAAACTACAAAGGTTTATAGCACTCTGTACACTGACACCGTTTTTTTTTGCTCTGGTTTGTTAAGTTTTGTTGCTGTAAGAAATATATGAGCTGATGGGTGTTCTGTCAGGTACGTAAAAAAAAGAGTTCATGTGATCACGTTTAACTGTTGGAAACGAGACAGGTTCATGTCTGTGATGTTTTCAGTGTTTGGCTTAAGATTTGAGATGGGGTTTCGGTCATGGGAACTGGGAATTCTCAAAAAGAACATATAGTTGTTTTTATGTAACAGGAATTATCCATCATTCTCAAATGACTGATTCAAGCTCAGGATACAGCTAGCATCGGCACACTCAAACTGTTGCACTGATATGATAAAATGTGATGCAGAAACCAAGTTAAAGCAGATGGTTGTCTAAGTGGATGGTTGTTGCTGGTTACAGAAAAAGCTTAGGCATGTAAGTAAGACTTGGAAGTCTGAAGCCTGCTCATTATGTCTCAGGACATTGACTTGGAAGTCTGAAGCCTGAAGCATCCAATGTGGTGAAAGATGAAGAGTACAAAGGGGAGATTTGGGTCGCGCTCTCCTTCAAGCCCTCGGTATAAAACATCTTGCATCGTTTCTTGATTTGGTTTTAAAATGTTTTAAGTAAAATTTGAAGAACAATGTGTTCTTCTGGTGGTGTTTGTTAGGAAAACCGAAGCAGGGGTATCGATGAGGAGTCCTATGGAGGCTGGAAAAACTCTGAAGCATCATACTAAGAGAAGAAACCATTGTGTGTTACTGTTTGATTTGAGTCTTGGGAACAAAATGTTGAGTTTTCATTTGAAAGAGTCTTTTTGTTCAGAGAGTTAACTCATGAAAAATAGTGTCTTGAATTTTCAAACATGTTACTTTTGAAATCACACTCAACAAAATTGCTTTTGGTAAATGTAGTTTTTTTGTCACAAGTCGTATTATTATAACATCACAAGCTTTACAAAAAGATATTTCAGTGGAGACATCCACTACATAACTGAGTTGTCTTATTAAAAAGTACAAACTTTAGATTATCACATGAAGATTGATAATCCCTGTTAAACTTTAACTTAAAAGAACAAAAGTTAGACTTTAAACTGATCCAAAAGTTGAAGAACATTAGATCAACTAAAGACTAAACTTTGCCTTAGTCAACAGTCTTAATCCTGTAAGAAGAAACCGCAGGAGCCAAAAAAATTCCTTCTGTTGAACTTATAAAATTTAGAAAAAAATTCCTGACAGAAAGTGCAGAGTGAATTATCGTTTTTTTGGAGGTATCTGAAATCCTTCAACATTCTTATCTCTTTTGTGTTTGGAACATTCTCCAACTTCAAACTTTGAGGAGATTGGTGAATTGACTTCAGTGTCAATACTTGAAGAAATTCATGAAGAAGTGTCGTAGAGTGGGCCTCAGAAAATGTTGTTCTGTGATTGGTTAAAACTTAAAACAATGTCCAAAAATAGAGAGATTCTGCAGAACATATGTTGGACCAAAAAGGCCCACTAGATCAGATGACAAGTGACACAAACTTCGTAGATATTAGTATATAATCATTTCCACTAGATGACCAAAAAAAAGGCAAAAACAATGTATTTGTTTTTTTTTTCTTTTTTTTGATAATTAAAAACAATATTTGTTTGTTACACCGTTTATCTTTTGTCATCTTATGTTATGACATGTTGATTTTTTAAAGAGTGATGTAACTATGTAAATTTTTAAAGCACGGTATCAATCAAGAATGCAAAACGTGTTGGTGGTCGAGGAGGCCGTGGTCATCACAATTAGTGTTTTCTAGTAACCTAGATTGCACGTCCCGGCCCTCTTTACTTCATCTTCTCATCCTTATGTTGTTATTCAGTTTCTCGATTAGGTGTAACACTTATCTCTTTGCTCTCTAAACTATAATCTAAACCACATGATCCAAAAGGTTGTGGTCTTGTAACCTGACATTTTTCATTTTATTTTGAAGATTTTTTATCAAGTTATTTTACAGTGAGAATCGTTGTTCTATCATATATAAGGTGGAGCTTAGTCTCGTTACAAGTGAACACGGACGAATATATATAATGAAATTGAGTTGGCACATCAACTTTAAAATACATTTATTTTAAAAGTATTCGAAATAGAAACCCTTCAAGTCGGGGATGTGCCTTTAGTCAAGTGGTTAAGTCCATTTGACTCCGCCTTCTTCACCGGAGTTCGACTCCAGTAAGTCGCGTTACCCCGCGTAGTAGGGATTGGCTATGGATCGGGCCTTGTCGATCCAAAGATGTCAAAAAAAAAAAAAACAAAAAAAAAAAACCCTTCAAGTCGTGAACTCATCACAATCAATAGACTCACTTATTAGTCACTAGTTACAATAACTTTTTTAATGTTGCTGGAAAACAAAGAAGCTGAAGCCTAGCCAGACCCGGCCCGCTACCCATTTTCAAGATACATGGGTATTGGGCCTCAAAATTTTTTGAAGATTTTTAATACCAAAATTAGGCCCCAAATTTTTTTTGTTATTGCATAAGTAGGCTTCAGTTTTTAGAAAGTTTTAGATTTTATCTCAAATTTTAAATTTTATCTATTTATTATTGCAAAAATAAGCCTCATTTTCTGAATTTTTAAGAGTTGATCTCAAAATTTAACTTTTATAGATAAAACCCAAAAAAAAAAAAAAAATTGTATGGGGCCTCATATTTATCTGGGCCGGCACTGAGCCTAGCTAGTTATAGTTTGAACAACAAACATATCAGAATTTGGGGCCTTGAGAACATCAAACAAACAAGGCAAATACTAGTAAGCATAATACAATTCCTCCTTATACAAAGATATATGAGCATCGGTCAACTGTCACAAGGGATTTTGTGTTCCTATGTCAATCTGAGGATATCATTAAAAAAAAAACATGAAAAAGATTCAGCAAAGTGAAAATAACCTTTTCACCAAAAAAAAAAAGTGAAAAAAACCTTAGATAGAAAAAGTTTCTCAAATACTTCTGACTTTTTGAAAGTTAAAATAAATAGCATAAATCATGCATATTTTCTTTTCTAGAGGTGTGCATTTTAAAATTTTAACTGAACCGAACTACACCTAATATATTTTCTTTGTGTTTAGATTTCTTAGAGAGGGTCTTGTGACATAACGAGACTCGGTCAATTATTACAAGAGCGCTTGTCTCACCACCGAGTATACATTAGAATTAGATAGCTCCTCTTTTGAATTGATGTCAACGGATAAGAAAACAAAGGAAAATCTTCCAAAGAGAAAGAGGCAGATGTAAATAATTTATGCCTTTGCTACAAACCTATATATGATTGATCCAAAAGCTGCCTTGTTGTTACATAGAAACAATTACTTCTGTAAACGTACCATTTTCTCATGTTTCAGATCACAAAAGATGTACTTGGGCGGGTAATGATAAAAATAGAAGACCTTAGCTCGAAATTCTCTTGGCTGATCATACGAAGGATCCTTACCTTTGAAGGTAATGAAATACATTACGGCAGGAGTACCAGTAGTGCAGATTGGCTTTGATAACCTTCACAAACTCATATCTTGTATTCTATATTTTAGACAAATGCAAAAACCACTCATAAATTAATAAGTACAACATCTTATAATTCAGTGTACATATTACATAATACGAATTTTATTAAAGAAAAAAACATAAGAATATAGTTTTGACCTCTCTTTCATTGTAACCCGCAAGGGATTCCCGAGACAGCCTATCCATTAACTCTCTGGGGGTTTCTGGTTTCACGACGAAAGCGGTATCATCATAATCAACGGGTCGGTAATTAAAAACGCAGCGGAACTGCTTGAAATCGATGTCGAAACCCTATAAACAAAAGATTCATCAAAAATCCACAAAGAAGATCAAAATCTCTTCCTATAACACTGACTTTTACCAAAGAATGGATTGACCAAGACCTGTGTCTCCGTGATTTGTTTTGTCAAAAGGAGCAACTCTTCGTCAGGGGTGAGATCAGGCCCCTCATCTTCACCGCGTCCCACGGATATGCATTCTTAGGCATAGAACCAGCATCGTACTGTATATATGGGGGTTCGTCCTCAGTAATCCAATCTGAGACCACAAATCGATTTAAGGGATTTTGATCCGTCCATCCTTAAAATCTAGACTTGGATTCCTACCTGGAAAGATATCAGCCATCGCTTCTCTCGGATCAGTCGACCATTGTTTTTGATACAAAAGACAAAACCCTAACTTTTAAGTAAACTTCTAGAGTTAATTGCATTGGAGTTCCTCTATGTTTATATTCTTTGTATTTTCTCCTCTTAGTTTTAATTCGACACTCACATCCCTCTAAATTGGTCAAATGAATAGAGAGTGATGCTTGATTTGAAGGAAAAGTGTATCATACAAGTTCCAAAGTTCGAAAACCGTTATTTCATTGTTAATTAGAGTATTAATTAATATTTGCACAAATGATAATTATCGGATAACTCTTAAAATCGTCATGTTTGAGTTAGAAACACAAAGAAAACATAAAATAGAAAGAGGAAAAAAAAAAAAACAGAATAAGAAGGAGTCTTATCAAAGTTAAGCTTAAGCCATTATAGTATATCCATCAACGGCTTGTTTCTTGCTACTCAAGAAACTGATAACAACTTACTCCTACGAATTTGTCAATGCAGTTTATTGATGATTAAATTTTGTAGATAACAACTTACTCCTACAAAAAGGTTAATGTTGTTTATTGATGGTTAAATCACGTAAAATTGACAATCAATAAGCGAACAAAAGTAATTGCAATGCTACATTGATTGTGAAGATGGGCTTTTAACAAACTTAAACAAATGCAAAATTCGCATCCTCTATAAAACAAAGAAAAAAAGTAAAAAAGTTTTTTTTTTTTTCCCCTCTTTCTGGAACCCTCGATAAAATAAAACAACAAAACCCTTTTGCTTTGTATCCAACTATTTCCCATTATTTGTACACAAGTCCCTCTAGTTTCTCTACTTTTCTTATTTGGCTCCTAGTTGTAGTTGTACACTATAAAAACCCGGGTAAGAGCGCAGACAACATCACGTGCCTACTCTGTGATTTCCTTTGCACCAACAGAGAGAGAGGAGAGAGAGAAAGAGACTGTTTCATGTAGCATCAGATTTTGTCCCCGGTTCGAGAGTAGTAATGATGAGTGATACACGTGTCGCCAGTATAGCTTTCTTTCTTCTTTTTTTCTGAAGAAACAAATTTAAAAGAAATCTGATATTTTCTTTAAGTTTAAGAACAATATATATATATATTTTCAAGATCACTAAAAAATTATGTATAAGAACCGTGTTTTCAACACTAATTATTTATTTTTCAAGATCACTTAAGTCTAGTTTTTGTTTTGAGCAGAAAAAAAAATCCACTTTGATTTCTTTTGTCTCTATTATAATTAATGGGTCCACTTGAATTTTGATCAAATGCATTTTATTGTATGACATAAAAAAAAAAGCATTTTATTGTAATTTTCTTCCCGAGATGATCTTAAGGAAACATTTCATCTCAGAAAATATGGGAAAAGAATGGAGTTAACTACATAATTTTTTTATAAATAATATAACCATAATAAGTTTGACAAAAAAAGCATTAAAATTTTAAGATTAATGAGTAACATTAGGATAAGCGTCGCCATGAAGAAACGAAGGATTGATTTATATTTCCAAAATCTTTGGCAGTAGAAAACGACGAATGTAAGCATTTAATTAATATCCGTACGGAGCTCGCGTGGTTCTAGTTTTCATTTAATAGAAATAAACAAGCGAATATTCAGATTTATTTATTAAGAAAATGATACAATAACAATGAAAAGATAAACTGGTAGACTAATATAGTCCATGTCACTTTACTCTGATGTTCTACTTTTGAATGTGTTACGTAAAGTGGAATTATAACATTTTTTTTTTTGTTAAAGAAAGTGGAATTATAACATTAGGAAAAAAACCAAGCCTAAAGTATATCTCCGATTCCAACGGGAAAAAAATATGGTGCTAAGTACTGTTGTGAGTTGTGAGTTGTGACCATTATTTGAATAATATCTGATACGGTAATAAAGTTACTTGAGTGTGATTTGATATGGTCTTTTTGGTTCGTCAAATATATTGGTAGAATTTCTATTCTGAGCAATTGTTTCGCTAGGCAAATTAAATGTTGGGTTTTAAGTATCCCTTCACCCAAAACGATGAGCTGGGACAGAGGACAAATAACCGATTTCAACAATAAAAATTAAATAAAAAGACAAAAGGTGAGAATGGTATATGTCGAAAAGTGCAACATCTTTACAAGGATGTTGGATTTTTTTTTTTTTAATCATAGTACAAGGTTAGAAGTTAACCACACTACATTTATATTAATTTTAGAATTTAAGTATAATGATGATTGATGAGAGATAGATCATAAATTTCAAACTGTCACGTGAAACTATGAACAAGTTTATCTGATACATTTTAGTGAGCTCAATTGATGATTAATAATTTAATTATTAGACAATCCTCAGATGCATTATTTGTTCCTTCCCAGATTCCATTTTAGATTGTTGACTAATAATCATATAATTGATTGATAATGCGTTGAATATTTAATTTCTTAAAAATAACACGTTGATTTTGGTCGATGTGACGATGTTGATGTGATTTGAAAGTTTTTTTTTGAATGCTGTATTCCACAAGATGCATGGTTGTAAGCATATGTTTGTAATGTAATATCATGATTACCAAAACTTAAAGTAGAAAAGCGTAATATATGGCAAGAAAAAAATATATAAGAGATTGTTAAAAATTTCCACACAAAGTACGTAAAGATAATTTCCACACGCATTCTATTTGCCTATTTAGTGATAGGTTTATTAACTTGTCTTGCTCATAAATTTCTCTGTAGCTAATAGACAGAACGAATCTTGAATTGATTAGTTCGAGGTGTAGAGCTTTATGTTGTCCTTCTATCAACAAGTTTTGCATTAGAATGGCTTGTGCTTCATTGATGAGTTTACTAATAAACCAATTTGAGTAATTTTCAAATATAGGACTCTAGGCTCTAGAAATTAAGATAGGTCAGTAATCAATATGTACTATGTAGTACATGACTCAGTGTGTGCTCTCCAAGTTTTCTATTTCACATACCTTTTGTTCTTTTTATCTTTTAAAGGTTGTGACTTGTGATCTTTTTTTTTTTCATGAAAGTTGGTTACCTAGTTTCGTTTGCCATGAAAGTTGGCTCCTTTCTTACTTGATTTGATACATAGGTATGGTTTTCTATTTACTTTTTTTTTCCATGAAAGTTGCTCTTTTCTTACTTGGTTTGAAGCATATGAATTTCTAATTGTTTTTTTCCATGAAAGTTGGTTCATTTTCTACTTGATTCCAAATTTTCATTCTCCATGAAAGCTAGCTCTTTTCTTACTTGCTTTGAAGCATACGCTTTTCTGTTTTATCATTTTAATTTTTTTTTGGTCGTTGACGTTAGTCAAATGGTTAGAACGGTGGAAATTATGTTTCTTTTCTTCTTACTTGTTTAGTTTTTCTGAAATTGTTTACGCTTACTTGTTTAGGATAGTATCTGTGTTTGTGTGATTTAGTTATATCATCATCATCATCATCATCATCATCATCTATAGTTGTAAATATTGTTCTATACTTCTATTTTTTGTTATTAAGTTTGATTTTCCATAAATGGGTTTTCTAGTTTATTCCTATTAAAGTTTTAGTACTTTATGCTGCTGGTCTGAAAGCTAATTTTGTGTCCTTTTTCAAATTTCAGAAATTGTTTTTGTTTATAATGGGAGATCAAATAGCAAGGGCCGAAAAGAATAAGAATGTGGTAATTATATATATATATATACGTTAAATAGTAAAATGCTTGGTGAGAGAAACACTACTAATGATCATTATTTGATTGATGATGAAATAGGTGGGTTCGTCTAGCTCTGAGTATCCTGAGGTACAAAAATGTGATTTTAATAATTTTGTGGATTTTGTGTTTAAGCGAAACTCTTAATGTATATAGATATCTGTTGTTTCTTTGGTAGGATATTCCACAAGGATGTAAAAGACGATTGAGCTGGAGAAATGTGGAAGGGAAAAACATGTTAAGGCAAGTGGTCGACCAGGGAAATCAGCGTAAGCATTCAACTCTGATGAAATTGTTTTTTTTTTTTTTTTTTTGTTTATCTTGTTTTAAACACAAATCAATTCATCATAGCAATTCTCGTAATGCATATGTGTATATATTATATGATATTTTTATTAATTATTTTTATCTTTTGATTGACAGCATATTGTTGGAATATTTCAACAAGTCACATGGTTTCATCACATTTATACATCCATGGAAAAACGGAAACACTTCTTCCGCTTTCAGCCCGACATTTGTTTGTCGGAGTTAAGGGAAAAAATCCGGATGGTTCGCTCAAAAACTTTGAGAACCTAAAGGATTTTTTGGTGAACCAAGGCATGATTCAAGAAAAAGACTGTGCATGTGTCGTAGAAAAAGAAAACAAGCAGATAGGAAGCAGCTCAAAGTCAAAACCAAAAGACAAGAAAAAAAGCTCGAAGAAGGAAAATGCTAAAGCTAATCCATGTTTTGGAAAAATGAAGGTAATTAAATATAGTAATAATTATGTGGTTTTTTTCTTTCAAATAATTATGTGTTATTTAATCAGATATATAATATATATTTTGATTTTTTCAGGGTAAAAAGGTTACCAAAATCAGGAATTTACAAATTGTGAGAGATGTCGATGAAAGAGAGTTGATCGAGCTGCTACAGAGAGGACCGGTTACAGTTAGTATAGAAGTAGCAGATACATTTAAGCTATTTAAAGGGGTGAGTAAATTAAATAGACCTATATTTTTCAATTTACGATACACTATGATTTTTATTACAGTATAATGTTATAACTATACAACAGGATGAAGTTCTTAGAGGATATAGTCAAAGCGAGAGTCTAGAAGATCATATGATTGAGTTGACGGGTTATGACACTACTCCCGACGGCATTAACTACTGGGAATTTCAAAATTCATACGGTCTTGGCTGGGGGAAAAATGGATTTGGAAAACTAATTCGAAAGAGTAGCCGAAAGAAACACGAGCCATCTCTAATCAATGCTTACATGTATCCAGAGGTATGACATAATAATATAATATCTGTACTTGGTATATATGTAATATGAATTTGTTTTGTTTATAAGATATATATCAATTTTGGTTTTTTTTTTTTTTTTTTAATGCAGCTTTTGGAGAGAGAGGAAGCTATTAATGCGCATTAGCAAAATGAGAAAAAATAATATTTTAAGTTTTTGTTTCTTCTAAACTCTCGTTTGTTTTGTTTGGATAATGTAGTAAATAATTTACGGCTAATGAGAATGTGACGTAGCGAGAGTTAAATAGATGCAAAAAATTCGTTTAGTTTTAAAATGTCAGAATTAACAAGCTTTCTTGATTTTATTGAAATTTTTTGAAATGTATCGAAAATAAAGATCGAGAATGTTCTTCTGAGTCCTTTCAAAAACTCTTTTAATTTGTTTTTCAAATTGACGACTAGATAAAACAATAAACCTAAAATCACATAGTTATTATAATTAATTAATTTTTTTTTTTGAAGTTTTACAAATATCTCCTTATATCATATCTCGCCCGCCTATAAAAATTCATTCTCAAATTTTGTATATACATTTCATCCAGTCGCGTAATAGGGGCGGGTGGACGTACGGATTTTTAGTTTGATTTCGGTTCGATTTTTTCATTTTATAAAAATTGAAACCACATGTATCTCGGTTCGGTTTGGTTTCAAAATTTTAGGTTATTTCATGTTTTACAAAAAAAAGCTATAAATTTGATATATAAATAAAAGTAAACATACAATAAAAATATTATATCAATAACTATAAAATTACTAAGAACTCAATAACTATAAGCCCAATATAGAATTTTTTTAATGATTACTATTATTAATCATAATATAAATTGAACAATATAGTTCTATATAATTATTTCTTAATTTAATTTAAAACCCAAAAATCATTCGGTTTAACGGTTTTTAACCAAACCAAACCTAAACCGAATACTTAATAAAAATAACAACCAAATTAGTTTTTAAGCTAAACCAAACTTTTTTCAGTTTCTACGCTCATGGAGATGCTCTTTTGGTTACTATTATTAGTTTTATTAATTTTTTGGGAAAAACTATCATTAAAATTCCTAACATATTGGAAACGTTGATTTAAATCCTCAACTCTCGACGAAACGAAATAAATATCAAATTTATATTGACTTTCCAAATAAATACCAAACTTTCGTTGACATGACCATATTAGACATAACGTTAAGTGGATTAACAGACTCTGTTAACGGAGTTAATTTTCTGTTAACATACCCGTTAATTAGAAACAACATCGTTTTGTCGTAACGACTGAACAAAATCCCCAAATTCAATATTAGATCCCCAAATCGAGCAAAATCTCTAACCCTAAAAATCGAAAACCCCCAATTTTCTCTATGTCTATTCTCTTACTCGATTGTCGAAATTGATTGCCGTAATGACATGACAGAAGCATCTTGCTTTCTGGAGTCCACGAAAGAAGCCGCATGCTTCTGTCGAGCCTTCCGAAACGGAAATAGAAATCGATTTTCTCTTTCTAGGGTTTAGATTTCTCAATTAGGGATTTTGCTCGATTTGGGGATCTATGATTTGAAATTGGGGATTTAATTGAGTCGATGCTACAAAATGACGTTGTTTTATTGTTAGAGAGAACATTGTCGTTTCAATTAACAGATCTATTAACAGAAAATTAATTCCGTTAACGGGATATGTTAACCTACTTAATGTCATGCTTAATATGGCCTGGTCAACGGAATTTTGGTATTTATTTAGAAAGTTAACATAAGTTTGATATTTATTTCGTTCCGTGGAGAGACGAGAATTTAAATCAACGTTTTCAATAAGTTAGGAATTATAATTATATTTTTTCCTCTGAAGGGCCCAAATAGTAGGAAATTAGAGGGACTTGTGTACAAATAATGGGAAATAGTTGGATACAAAGCAAAAGGGTTGTGTTGTTTTATTTTTATCGAGGGTTCCAGAAAGAGGGGAATTTAGGGTTCTTCAACACAAGGCAAGAATTTGATCCGTGAGGAGCGATGGGGGAGGTTGATATAGACGGTACGAGTCCAATTTTGCTTTAGGGTTTCGTTTATATAGTCAATTTTGTGTATAGCCCTGACTCTGATAACTGATAAACCCGTTTCAGGAAGGTCTCCAATGCTGGGACGTGTGTATCTGAGTTACGAGGTTGGTTCTTTTCCTAAGAATCTGATTCCTCCGCATATTCGACGGGACGAGAATAAAGAGCCTAAGTACACGACACAGCAAGAGTGTGTTATGATGAGAAGACAAGTCAGGAAGAGCAAGGTTCTTCTTCTCCTTCTTGTTCTTGTTCTTTTTCAATTCGCCACTTCATTTTGAGGTTTTTTCATGTTGATTTGTCGATTCTCTGTGTTATACAATTTAGGGGTTCGACATCGATTTCACACAGTTCCGCTCTGTTTTCAATTACCGCCCTGTTAATTTTGACTGTAAAGAGTATTCTTTGGCACCAGAAACCACTAGGGGGTTACTCGAGAGGCTGTCTCGAAACTCCCTTAAGAACTACAACAAAGAATGGGTCTGCTTTCAAATTCTCTTTGTTGTCTTGAAAGATAGATCAGTTTTAGTTTGATCTGCTAATGAAATTGTTTTCTTGGATAACAGTTTACAGAATATGAATTTCTCAATGTTGTCAAAGCCAATTCTTACATGTGTTCTGGGAGAATGTATTTCATAACCTTTGAGGTTCGAGATCCTTACGACAACCTGCCAAAGCTCTTCCAAGCTAGGGTCCGCTATTATTATGATGTTACGGATGACTACATATTATGCAGACCAAAACCCAATCAGAAAGGTATTATTATTGTTCTCTTCTTTCTGCATGACTAATGTAATCGTTTCCGTAGATCATTAGGCCAGATTGTTTGTGAATTGGCAATTGTGGTGTGCATTTGTATAATTCTTTGTCTTTTGAATTATATGATCCTATATATGTTTCTTCACAAGACTCTTTTGTAATGGTAAAATTTGATTGTTTTGTCAGTCAAATGCGTTGGAACTGCCAAGACACATAAAAGGTAAACCCGTCGTTTACTTTGATGCATCTCTTCCTTTCTGTTATTGTTCTAATCGTAGATCGGTTCTTTACACTCTTTTAATCTGTTCTCTTCTTTCTCTTCATGATTTTTGCAGATTGGCATAGGAAGCTTATGCAATCTCTAATGTGGTTGGATGTTGAGCAGTGAGCTAAATTAGTGTTTGGAGTGTTCAGAGTTTATGGTAGAATTGTTCTTGTCGCCCAAATCCACTACTAGGAAGGAATTATTAATGTGAGATATATTTTAATTAACAAGCTATTGAGAAAGAAAAACATTGAACATTTCTAGTCAAATTCGTGTAATGTGTTGGATGCTATGGGAATCTCTTTTTTTTTTTTTTTTTTTTGATTGACTATGGGACTCTCTCTTTGTGGACGTTTTCTTATTACCCATATCATATGCATCCTTGTATCGGACCCCCAAAAAAATACTTTAGTAGTTTACTCGATGAAAATGTTTTTTTACATTTTTTCTTTGATTTATAGAGGATGCGAATTTTGCATTTGTTCAAAAGCCCATTTTCACAATCAAATTAGGATTGCAACTATTTTTTTCTTCGCTTATTGACTGTCAATTTTACGTGATTTAACCATCAATAAACAATGGTTTACAAAAAAAAAAAAAAAAAAAAACCATCAATAAACAACATTGACAAATACGGTTTCTTCTCTCAAGTCAAGCGACTCTTTCTTTTTCTACTTTTAATTCTTAGGTTTTGTTATTAATGGTTTCCCTATCTCTCTCAAACGAGCATTCTCCTTGCAATTCTCGTAATTGGTTTCTCTTCCTTTGGAAGAGTGTTTGTCCGGCGATTGATCTACGATTCTTTTGGATCAGTTTTGTCGGTGTATGTCCGTTGAGTGCAATCTCTAGCGGTGGGTGGAAAGTATCATCTTCATATCAAGTTCGAATCCCTAAACCGCCATGGATATCTTTTTATTTTAACACTTCTTCGGCTTTCTTTTATTGCCTTCTCCAATTATCAACAAGCACGAATCATGATCTCCAACGCCGATCGCAAGATATTATTTTTGCTGTCGACCATACATTGAAAATTTTACAAACCAACATGTTTGTTCATTTGGTAGATCTGAATCTTTTCATTGTGTATCTTCGATTTTGGAGTGACTTTATTGCCGTACGACATAATCCCTTGCCGGCGTATTTCCAAGATTTCACTTCGTTGGTCTTGTTCTTCATCAGTTTTGGTTGGCTTCGGAAACATGTACTATGGCAACAACTATGGAAGAGATGGCATTTCAGAATGAAAGAGGAAACCATAGTCAATAAGCGGAAACGATATCAAAGGTTGATTTCAAAGAAAGTAAAGTCAAAGTCGAATCCCCATGTAAAGACTCGGATACGAAAATATTGGTATCCGATAGTCATAGTTTCAGAACTTACGATGGAAGCAATAGGTTTCACCATGCAGTGTGCAATTTGGAGATCAAGCCAAGAGAAGGTATCCACGCACACAGTTCGCATCAGAGCGAGATCGAATATGAAGAAGGAAAATAATGGATCTAATAATCCGTTAGCGAGTAAGGCTTATCTGAGAAAAGCATCGTCAAATTCCTTTTGTATCGTGTATCTTTCTTACTATATGGCGCATAAATATGCTTATGTAATAATTTGCTTTTCGAAAGTTCTGTAACCTGACTTTGTAATGTTGATTTGATATCAATGAATTTAGAAGAAAAAAAAAAAAAACAACATTGACAAATACGAAGGAGTAAGTTGTAATCAGTTTCTTGACAAGCGGGTTGATGGATATAATGGCTTAACTTTGATGAGATCTTTTCCTTCGTATTCCGGTTTTTCCTATTTTCTATTTTTCGTTTTCTTTGTTTTTTTTTTTTTAACTCAAACATGCCATTTTTAAGGTTTATCCGAAAATATCATTTGTGCAAATATGTAGTTAATACAATAATACTCTAACAATGAAATAGCAGTTTTCGAACTTTTGTAACTTGTATATGATACAATTTTCCTTAAAATCAAGCATCACACTATACTCATTTGACCAATTTAAAGGGGTGTGAGTGTCGTCGACTTAAAACTAAGAGGAGAAAATACAAAGAATATAAGCATAGAGGAACTCCAATGCAGTTAACTCGAGACATTTACTTAAAAGTTAGGGTTTTGTCTTTGTATCAAAAGACAAGGCGTATCTGATTCACCAAAATTCCTAACCCGAACAAAAATACATGATCCAAACCAGTTCTAGGTAGAAATACCTGAATGACTTAGAGATAGGTATTTCGGGTGTCGGGTTGGGTTTTTGTCGTGCTTTTTATTTTAATGATAGATTAATTTGTATTTTTTTTTGCAAAAATAAGTTAAGGTATTTTTCGACAAATACTAAATAATTCAAATTTTTTCAAGAATATTCCTCTGAATAAAACTAACAGTGTTTGACGATTCGGTTAACACCGTTGATGGCCATTATGACAAAGGTGGAAAACCGGAACAAAAATTTCATCGTTTTTTTTTATATTTCAAAACAAAATTAGTGTATGTATTTTTCTGCCAACTAAGAGAATTCAGTTCGTTTTCAAGAAAATATTAAATAAGTCGGATTTCTATCGAGAATTTTCCCAAAAGAAAACTAATAGTCGAATTCGAGGTAGCTAAAATATAGGAAAATATAAAAAAAAAGGAGAAATCTATATATATAATGGGAGAGTTTTCTCTCCTCTTAAGGTGTCCACATCATCATGTTAAACATCCAATTAAATAAAGCCATGTCATTAGTTAATTTTTTTTTAAAAATAAAGTCTAATTACAATATTCATTTAATTCACATTTATTTATATTAATGTTAATTATAATAACAGAAATTATAATTAAAGTAAAAAGAATTACATAAAAGAAATGAAATTTTAAAATCTATATATATAATGGGAGAGTTTTCTCTCCTCTTAAGGTGTCCACATCATCATGTTAAACATCCAATTAAATAAAGCCATGTCATTAGTTAATTTTTTTTTTAAAATAAAGTCTAATTACAATATTCATTTAATTCACATTTATTTATATTAATGTTAATTATAATAACAGAAATTATAATTAAAGTAAAAAGAATTACATAAAAGAAATGAAATTTTAAAATAGTAAAAGTAATACTATAAAAATTGTATTAGTAATAATAATATTATTCAACTTTCAACATAAAAAAAATGATTATATTTCAAATTTTTGAATGTGTTAAATGAGTTTTAGTATGGAAGTAAAATTTAAATGCATCGTAGAGTAAAAACAATTTATGTAATTGTTTCTGTAATTTTAAATAAATAAAATAAAATTTAAAGTAAAACATTAATTTGTAAGAGCAATATACTACAGAAAGTTTTTCTTTATTATGAAATATTCACTTAATTAAGAAAAAATTACTAAATCCAACTTACAATTTTTAATTTAAGACAAAGACATGGAAAGAGTCACACTTTTTTGTGAAATAATGGAAACAAATCCTAAAAATTCAAAAACGTTATGATCTATCTTCTAAAAAAAAAAAATTGGTTATATTATTCATGAGTTGTATAATAAAATATATGTAAGTTGTTAACAAAAAAAGTGATATATAAATTATGTAAGATATATCTCAAGTTAAACTACAACTATATAACATAATCAAATAGAAAAACACGTTTAAAAGTTCATCACCTAAATCAAATGTTTTCAGCCCAAAAATTGGTGGAAACAACATATTTAAAGTATATTACCTTTTTATTTGACAAGATGATGTTCAGCTTACATCACAAGATTAACATCTCAAAATAACAAAAAGCGGTAAGCCAAGTAGTGGTTTAAAATCACAAAAAGTGGTAGGCTAAAGAGTGTTCTGAAATCACAATGACACTATTATGAATGAAGATGGAATTACATTATATAAGTGTTTGAATGTGTAAGTGTTTTTTAAAAAAGTATAATTTCCATAGAAACTTTTAAGTGCATTTAAACATTAGATTATGCAATCTTAAAAAACAAAAATAATGAGATACAACATAGATATTAGTCAAATTTTTAATATTTAAAGTTATTTTCAACTGTTATGATTCTAAAAACTGACCTCTATGATAACATAATATATTACTAAACCCACGCGCTGCGTGGGTCATTTTCTAGTTGTTAAAAATGCCCCTTTTTCAATACCCCTTTTCAAAAATGTCCCCTTTGAGAGTCCATTTTTAAGTTTGCCCTCTTTTAATTTTTAATGACCATTTTACCCTTATTTGAAACAAAATTAGGTCCACAAAATACAAAATATTTTTTGGCGGGAAAAGTGAACCCGCAATTTTCCCGCCAAAACACTTGTAAAAACCTTTAAAATACCTTGTAAAATTTTCCCGCCAAAAAAATTTTTTTGCGGGAAAAATGATTCCGCAATTTTTTTGGTGGGAAAAATTTACAAGGTATTTTAAAGGTTTTTACAGAGTATTTACAAGTGTTTTGTAAGGTTTTACAATGTATTTTAAAAGGTTTTACAAGATACTTATAAGGATTTATAAGGTATTTATAACTTGTAAAACCTTATAAAAAACTTGTAAAACCTTATAACTTGGAAAACCTTATAAAATAGCTTGTAAAATCTTATAATATCTTATAAATACCTTATAAATACGTTGTAAAACCTTTTAAAATACATTGTAAAACCTTATAAATACCCTGTAAAAAACCTTTAAAATACCTTGTAAATTTTTCCCGCCAAAAAAATTGCGGAATCACTTTTCCCGCAAAAAAAAATTTTTGGCGGGAAAATTTTTTGGCGAGAAAATTTTACAAGGTATTTTAAAGGTTTTACAAGTTTTTACAAAATCAAATTTGTAATTTTGATGTGTGCACATTCTCATGTTTTCCCTATATATTTGTGATATTTTTTTATTAAAAGAAGGGTAATTTAGTCATTTTGTACATAAAAAGGGGTATTTTTAAAAATGGACAGCCAAAAGGGACATTTTTGAAAAAGAGTATTGAAAAAGGGGCATTTTTGTGAGTCTCCAAAAAAAAAGTCATACTCAACTGAAAAAATGCAAACCCACCCCTAACTTTACCTTAAGTAAAATAATGCGTTAACCTTTTTTTTTTTCCTCTAGATTTATTATTTATTGCAAATTATGAGAACTGTTACATAGACGATTCTACAACTGACAATTCCTTCCGATCCTTATTAGATCCACGACAGACGTCACCTCTTTCACCTCCTTCTTCATGCTCACCTCTTTCACTTCCTTCTTCATGCTTTTGATGGACACTTCACTCTCTGCGTAGAATCCTGGCGAACGGCTATAATTGTACATCGTTGGAGATCTCATGCACACTTGCCTCCAATAATCTGCAAATATATTAATAAATCGCAGTATCTGGGCTTCGAACCCCAGACCTCTGGATGTAGAAGCATTAATTAACCCTTGATCAACCAATGAGCCAAGGAGACTTCCACAATGCGTTAACTTTTATTTGTTTTTCTTTTTAATTGTAAACTTTTATTGAACTTTTATTTTAATCGCTAATTTTTGTTGACTTTGTAAAATAAGCCACGCTGTTAAGTTGACTAACGGAACAACTTAATGGAGTTAAATTTTCTTTGAGATTCTATGCTAAACTATTAAACGAGAACGTTTTGATTAAAAAGTAAGACTAAAAATGAGACTCGAACTTCGTAGCTTTTGGATAAAACCATGTATACGCCAATGTTGGTATAAAGAAACATTTTCTTTGTGACAGTGGTGAAGGATAGTCAACGCATTGGAGATTTCTAGAGAATCGAGTTCGGAAACTAATTTTCAAGGAGAGTGTAAAGCAGCCTACCAAAAAAAAAGGAGAATGTAAAGCAAACATGATAAGAATGTAACCCAGTAACACGTTGGTGATTAAACACTAATTTTTTAATTTGGAGAATTTATACTAAAAATATATATAAATATATGTTTGTGGTTGTAAAATTTTAGCTTGTTTGGTAATGAATTTATGGATTATTCGAAAGATAAAAGATTCAATTCTTATTTTTTGAGTTTTATTTTTTAATCAAAATATTGTTGTTTTGTGTAGTTTATCAGAAATTCTCAACGAAAATTTAACTTTGTATATTAGTTGTGATAGTCAACTTACGACGTGTTTTATTTGGCAAAAAAAATTTCAACAAAAGTTAGCGATTAAAATATAAAATTAACAAAATAAATTAACGATAAAAATAAAAATTAAATAAAAGTTGGCTAATTATTTTTATTTTTTTTTGTAGAAGTTGGCTAATTGGTTTAGCCGAAGCAAAATTGGAAATTATTTTGACATTTAGAAGTTTTATCATTAAATATACATGGTCGTTGACAAGTGACAACTAAATATATGGGGTTACTATTACTAATTTTCTTGAGCTTTGAGGGCCCATTTAAGAATTTGTAAGCTAGGTGGACTTTTGTACAATTGGTTTTTCTCGACGGTTCGAGAAAGCGGAGGATGATTAGAAATTAGGTTTCTTCAACACAAAGCAATAACTTGATCCCTGAGGAGCGATGGAGGAGGTTGATATAGATGGTACGAATCCAACTTTTTTTTATCATGCTTTAGAGTTTCGTGTATATTGTCGCAATCGATGCCAAGTTTGTGTGTATATATCCATGACTCTGATAAGCTTGTCTCAGGTAGGTCTCCAATGCTGGGACGTGTGTATCTGAGTTACGAGGTTGGTTCTTTTCCTAAGAATCTGATTCCTCCGCATATTCGACGGGACGAGAATAAAGAGCCTAAGTACACGACACAGCAAGAGTGTGTTATGATGAGAAGACAAGTCAGGAAGAGCAAGGTTCTTCTTCTCCTTCTTGTTCTTGTTCTTTTTCAATTCGCCACTTCATTTTGAGGTTTTTTCATGTTGATTTGTCGATTCTCTGTGTTATACAATTTAGGGGTTCGACATCGATTTCACACAGTTCCGCTCTGTTTTCAATTACCGCCCTGTTAATTTTGACTGTAAAGAGTATTCTTTGGCACCAGAAACCACTAGGGGGTTACTCGAGAGGCTGTCTCGAAACTCCCTTAAGAACTACAACAAAGAATGGGTCTGCTTTCAAATTCTCTTTGTTGTCTTGAAAGATAGATCAGTTTTAGTTTGATCTGCTAATGAAATTGTTTTCTTGGATAACAGTTTACAGAATATGAATTTCTCAATGTTGTCAAAGCCAATTCTTACATGTGTTCTGGGATAATGTTTTTCATAACCTTTGAGGTTCGAGATCCTTACGATAACCTGGCAAAGCTCTTCCAAGCTAGGGTCCGCTATTATTATGATGTTACAGATGACTACATATTATGCAGACCAAAACCCAATCAGAAAGGTATTATTGTTCTCTTCTTTCTACATGACTAATGTAATCGTTTCTGTATATCCTTAGGGCAGATTTTTTATGAATATCATGTTGTGGTGTGTATTTGTATCATTCTTTCTCTTTTGGATTATATGATCCTATATATGTTTCTTCACAAGACTCTTTTGTAATGGTAAAATTTGATTGTTTTGTCAGTCAAATGCGTTGGAACTTCCAGGAAACATAAAAGGTAAACCCGTCGTTTACTTTGATGCATCTCTTCCTTTATGTTAATAGACTCTCGAAACTCTTTAATCTGTTCTCTTCTGTTCATGATTTTTGCAGCTTGGCATAGGAGCTTCTGCGATATCTAATGCGGTTTGGGTGGTGAGCAGTGAGCTAAGTTAGTGTTAAGAGTTTATGGTAGAATTGTTCTTGTCGCCCAAATTACCACTAGGAAGTTAATGTTGACTAAATCTTATTAATGTGAGCTATATTTTAATTAAGAAAGACAAGCATTACATTTCTCGCCAAATCGTGTAATGTGGATGCTATTGTAATCTCTCTCTTTTTGGACGTTTTCTTATTTCCATTTGCAACCTTAGCTTTTATGATTGAACCACAAAATATACTGGTTGCGAGTGTGATATGATGGAAATGTTTTTGGCAAACAAGACATGTTCGTAGTGACAAAACAACCCGAGTAATAAGGGACAGTATCCATAGCTCTGATAGGATTGGGCTGTAGAGCCAACCTAAGGGATCAAAAGTTAAATCTAACTGTATAATAGCATATTAGCTCTAAAGTTGCGGAATCAAGATTTGGCGCCATGTTACAGAATTTGGTAGATGAGAATATCATGTCTTGGGATTTGATATCGATTTTAGGAAGTTCCGCTACCATACTGTTGATTTTGATGATAATGAATTCGTTGAGAAGCCAGAAACTAATGTGGATTTACTCAAGAGGCTGTCTCAGAAATCCATTGATAACTATAAATTTTTAATCATGAAATCATGAACATGTGAGAACTAATTAAGAGCTAGCTAGTCTCATTAAATAATGCTTCTGCTTTTATGTTTGTGATCTCCATTCTTACAATCAAATTAAAAGGTTCTATCTTTGTTTTCAAACAGGAGACAAAATATGAATTTGTTAAGGTTATCTATGCCAATTTTCACATGTCTGCTGGGGTAATGTTTCTCATAACATTTCAAGTAAAGGATCCTGCTTTTCCAAGCTAGGATTCGCTACTCTTTCGTCGATGAGAGCAACTTTGTCTTTTGCAGGCCAAGAAGGTACTCTTTATTTTCCATATATTGGGCAGGTTTTGGAATGGATCATTATATTGGGTACAGTAGCATATGAAATTATTCCGTCTCAAGTGTATTAACCTCTTCCTCCTTTTATCTTATTTTTTGTTCTGAAACTTGTCCTTCCTTGATATTTATTCTGGATTGTTTTGGCAGGTTCGACCCACGAAGATGGCGTTGGACTCTCCGAGAAAATTGTCACGAAACCAAGCTATAGTATTTATCCAGACATGGATGCATTGTTTCCTTAATGTTTAATGTGAGAATCTTGGTTTTTTCTTTAATATTCGCATACTGGCATAGAAGCTTAATTTTCTGCACGAGAGTGTTCCTTGGACGTGTTTCCATCGATTCGTCGCGAACTTACTAGCTCTAATTACAACAGCAAAACTAGCATGTCACCTTTTTAGATTTAAACTGAATTAGGATGTTTTAAACATTTGTTGCGCTAGATCACCTATATTATTTGGATAGTTATAAGACCTTCACATTTCTTGCTTCATACACCTGATGAGCCTGATTGGGTGAGACCAAAATACCACACACGAACCAAGAAAGATGAGCCTCGGTACACAGTAGATGAAGAAATTGCAATGATGAACGAACAAATCGAAGCCAGCAAGTGGTTTTTTCTTTTGTTCTAACTTAAAAGTTTTGTTTTATGTTATCAGTACTGCTTTTAAGGTTGTCAGAACTTAGAGTTGATTACAGAAACCAATGCGGATTTATTCAAGAGGCTGTCTCAGAAATCCATTTATAACTATAATAAGGAAAACGTGAGAACTAGTCTACTTGTTCTGCTTTTATGTTTGTGATCTTCATTCTTACCAATGGTAATTAATATCTATGTTTTAACAAGAACACAGAATATGAATTTGACAAGCTTCTTAAAGCCAATTTTCACATGTCTGCTGGGATAATGGTACTCATAACGTTTGAAGTGAAGGATCCTTCTGACAACCATCTTAAAGAATTCCAAGCTAGGGTACACTACTCCTTCGTTGACGAGAGCAATTATGTCTTCTTTAGGCCGAAACCCGAACAATAAGATACTTTCTTTTCCATAAATTGGGAAGCTTTTGTAATGGATATATAATAGGGTAGTAGCAAAAGCATATGAAATGATTAATGTGGAGTGTAGTAACCTCTTCCTTCTAATATTTCTTTTTCGGGTTGTTCCTTATGGTATTCTGGATTGTTTTGGCAGATTCGACCAACGAAGATGGTGTTGGAGTTGCCATGAAAGATGTCAGAAATCAAGGTATATATCTATTCAAACTTGGATGCATCGTTTCCTTAATGTTTGATGTGAGAATATCTTAGATGTTCATTTGATATTGGCAGACTGGAATAGGAGCTTTATGCACGAGAGGTTACCGATCCTTGGACGTGTTCCCATTGATTTGTGGCAAACTTACTAGCTCTAGCTAGTCTAAACTGTGATTTCTATAACAGTATATAGCAAAATTAGCCTGTCACCTTAATGTTTTGTTTTAAGTGTTAAACTGATTTTAGGGAGCTTTTTTAATCACTTGACTACACTCAAAGTATTTTGAAATTTTTATAAATAAGCATTTCTAAAATTTTAAGAAGGTTTTATGAACATTTGCCTGAAAAAGTTGCAAGAAATAAGATTACAAACTTTATAGAGGAATAAAGAAAATATTACTTCAACTTCACAAAACTTGACATTTTTCCTTTTGATATGGAAACTAAGATTAAACATCGCAATAAAGACAATTCCGTATTTCAATGATTATGCATAACTTTCAAATTCTCATATGAGACTAGCTCATACATTTCAAAATCATAAAAAAAAAAAAAATTGGTTGTATTCTAGATTTTGGAGTATCAATTGCACTTTTTACTAACGTTTTATTTGAATAAGATTTTTCAGAAAAGAGTTTTCGATTGGCTGGTAGTTGTACGAAACTAAAAGTATGAGGCCAAAGAATGATGTATCATAAGAAATAAAAGAGACTTGAGTAAAAAAAAAATAAAGAAGGGGAACGCAACTAAAATCACTTTCAACAAAGCGAACAGAAAAAAAAAGTTAGGGTTTCGTCATCTCTTCTTCAACGCAAAGTGCGATCTGATCCGTGGGGAGGGAGTCATGGTTGAATCATTCGAAGGTTTAGTTTCTCTAAACTCTAGGGTTTGTAAAGACTCCCGATCAATCGATTAAAAGCCCTTGATTTCGATTTGTTATTTCAGGCTGGACTTCATGGGTCGAAGATGCATATTTGCTATGTACACCTGAAGACCCTGAGTGCTTGAAGCATCACTATATCACACGAACTGAGAAAGACGAGCCTCAGTACACAGTAGATGAAGAAATTTCCATGATGAACGAACAAATCACAAAGAGCGAGGTTTTTGACATTATGGTTTTTGTTTTTGTTTCAAAGTTGCCACCATATTGAAATAATGAAGGTTCTGTATGAATTAGGGGTTCGATATTGATTTCTCGTTGTTCCGATGTCTATTCAACTACCATCTTGTTGATCCCAATGATTACGATTTCCTTGAAGATGAAACAACAGAAACCAACGGGGATTTCATGAAGAGGCTCTCTCAAGAATCCCTTAAGCGCTACAATGACGAATGTGTTAGAACTGAATAATCCATTTATGTTCCTATACTGTTCTTTTTTTGTACACAACAATTCAACTTAATGGTTCCTTGTTTGAAACAGGGTACAAAATTTGAATTTCTCGAGGTTGTCAAAGCCAATTTTCACGGATCTGTTGGATATATGTTTCTCATCACGTTTCAAGTGTTTGATCCATCTGATGACCAGGAAAAAACCTTCCAAGCTAGGATCCGTTACACTACACATTACCCGACTGAATTCGTCTTTTGTAGGCCGAAACCCAATCCAGAAGGTACAAATTAAAAGTTATTGTTTTGGATACTTGGGTTCATAGCATAATTGAGTGATTCATTGTGGAGTATATATAGTTTCGTCTTTCTCTTGTTTAAAGATCTGTATAGCTTGTAAAAGTGGTTATTATCTCTGGTCCTTGACATTTGTTTTCTTTGGCTTTATTTGGCAGTTGACTCTGGTGAAACTTCCAAGGAAGATGTCAAAGGTTGACGTTGACGTTGACGTTGACGTTGGAGTCTTGGATTGAATACTTGCAGATTGACGTAAAAAAAATAGTCTAAATTTTCAAAAACAAGGGTCCCATTCAAAGGTTTCTTTTGTATAGTGCTCAGGACCGGTCATGGGTTTATTAAACCCAATTTTTACTTAGCCCTATCGTTAACAAGCTTGCGATAGTTGTTTACTTAGCACTATAGTTAACAATCGAAAAACTTGTTACCATATAATTGAGAAAATTGTTATCATATAAGATTTTTAAATCTAAAGTTCCAAAAACAGTAAACAAAAGGTTGAAAAATTACAAACTATGGTGTGTTGGAGAACACGGTGTCGACAACTAGAGGAGAAATCGACAACAGCAACCATCATCGAGAAGACTTGTTTTGGAGATGAATGTGTGAGGAAAATAAAAATTTGTGTCTTATATCTAGATTTACAGATATTGAATGGTCAGAAAATTCGACATGTTTTCTTTGTAGTATATCTAGCTAGCTCATATACTGTACTTCTTTTTTTTTGTCCTATTCTAGTTTTTGGAGTATCAATTTAAAGCACTTTTTACTAACGTTCTTATTTTGACTAAGATTTTTCAGAAAAGAAATTTTTATTGGGTGGTAGTTGGGAGAAACTAAAAGTATGAGGCCAAAGAACGAAATAAAGAAATAGAAGGGACTTCATAAAAATATAAAGAAGGGTAACGCATCGAAAATCACTACAAAAAGTTAGGGATTTTTTCATCTCTTCTTCAACGTAGGGATGGGTGAAACATTCGAAGGTATGAATTCAATATTTTTTTCTCTAAACTCTAGTGTGTGTATATACTTAGTGCTTGTTATTTTCGATTTGTTATCTCAGGCTGGACTTCTTGGGTCGAAGATGCATATTTGCTATGTACACCTGAAGATCCTGAGTGCTTGAAGCATCACTATATCACACGAACCGAGAAAGATGAGCCTCAATACACAGTAGAAGAAGAAATTGCTATGATGAACGAACAAATCGAGAACAGCGAGGTTCTTTAAATTATTGTTTTTATGTTATATGTTATCAATCCACTTACAAAATTGTGGTCATGATATTGAATTACTGTGTAAATTAGGGGTTCGATATTGATTTCTCTTTGTTCCGCTGTCTGTTCAACTACCATCTTGTTGATCCCGATGATATCGATTTCGTTGAGGAGCCAGAAACCAATGGAGATTTAATGAAGAGGCTTTCTAAAGAATCCCTTAACGTCTTTAATAAGGAGGAGGTGAAAACTAATCCATGCTCTTCATATATGTTTTAGATGTGGTGATGTTGTACACTTATGAATGGTTGGTTACTTTGTTTCGAAACAGGGCACGGAATTCGAATTTGTCAAAGTTGTCAAAGCCAATTTTCACTATAGCGCTGGGTTTATGTTTCTCATAACATTTCAAGTCTTAGATCCATCTGATAACCAGGAAAAACTCTTCCAAGCTAGGGTTCGTTACTCAACACGTTTCCCGGCTGAATACGTCTTTTGTAGGCCAAGACCCGATCCAGAAGGTTCCTTTTCTTTTCTGACTCTTAAAAGTTTATACTGTTTCTACATATTTTTTTGATACTTGTGGGGATCATAACAAAAGCCTAAGTGATTCACTGTGGAGTGCATTTGCCTCTTTCTTTCTCTTGTTTAAAGATGTATAGTTGTTATTTTTATTTTCTTTTGAAGATGGTTGTTATCTCTGTTTGACATTTATATTCTTTGGATTGGTTTGGCAGTTGACTCTGATGAAACTTCCGAGGAAGATTTCAATGGTGTATGAAATTATCCATCTATATATACTTTGATGGATCACTTACTTTACGTTGCCGTTGGAATCTTGGATTGATTTTTATTTCTTTTGTCCGTTCATACTTACAAAAATTGCATGATCGATCGATCATCAATTTATGCGATGGTTGTTTATTAGCACTATCGTTAACAGTTATAAACCTATATATTAATTGTAAGTTATAAAATAAATTATTTGGAAACAGAGAGAGTAATATTTTTGCAAGGTCTGTATATATTTTTTGATACTGTATAATAATAAGTAGTATTGGAACAAATTACTTTCTTTTAAAGAAAAATTCATATAGATTCTAAGAGAAATAGACTAAGACTTTCCCTAGAAAAGTTTGTAGTCATATTAGATTTTAAATCTCTAAAGTTCATAAAATAATAAACAAAAAGTTGCAAGAAATTACAAAATTTTATAATTGAATAATAAAAGATAAAATACTTCAATTTCAAAATAAATGATATTTTCTTTTTGTCGGAATACAAGACATTAAAGTTGTAGTATTTCACTAGTTATGAAAAGATATTTCAAATTCATACACTTTTTCGTATCATAATTTTGAAGTATTTATTCAATGCACTTTTACTAACGCTGTTATTTTGGTGAGTGAAAAACGTTGTTATTTTATAATAAGAAAGATTTCAGAACAGAGCTTTCGATAGGGTTGACGAAATTAAAAGTATAAGGCCAAAAGACAAAGAAAAAATAAATAACAGCGACTTGAGTGAAATAAATTGGATATTAAGTTTAATCTAAACTCACTTTCCCCAAAGCAAAATTATAAATACAAAAAAGGGTTAGGGTTCTTCTTCATCTGTTGATCAACGATGTGTGAATTCGATGGAGGTACGATTCGAATTTCGTTAATGTTAAGTGTAAAGGTTTATAATTTTACTCTAACCCGATGGATTCCAATTACAATGTCTCAGGTTGGGTTGCGTGGCTCGAACCAGTAGCGGACCCAGCCAAAAGTTTTACCCAGTGCAAAAAAATACACTTGCGGGGAATTAAACCCTCAACCCTATGGTTATAGGGTAAATCTTATAACCACTGAACCAATTGCTTCAATATATCTAATGCAAAATCACAACAATTTATATATTACTCGGTGCAACTGCACCCCTTTCCACCAACGTGGGTCCGCCCCTGGCTCGAACCTACGTATTTGCTGTGGAAACCTGGGGGTCGTGGCTATGAGAGACCTTCATACATGACTAGGACGGAGAAAGATAAGCCTGAGCTGACACCAGAGCAAGAACTTGCCCTAATGACCAAAGAAGTCAATGCTAGCGATGTATATATGTCCCCCTTACTTTGTTTTTTCTTTCTTTTTATGATAATAACAAATCAACTTTACAATTTTTTGGTGAAAACATATAATATGCCTTCAGGGGTTTGATATAGATTTCAGCTCCTTCCGCTGTGTTTTCAACTACCATCCTACTGTTCTCCATTCTGATCAATTCGCTGACGATGACTCTGAAACTACTGAGGATTTCCTCAAGATGCTTGCTCAGGAAGCCCTTGATGTCTACAATGGCAGACATGTGAGGGAACTCGTCTTTTGTGCTTTCAAATTCCAATAATGTATGAATGTGTTTATGTTTTCTTTGTTTTAAAAAAATAGGTCACAGAATATGAGTTGGTCAAAGTTGTTAAAGCCAATTATCACTTTGCTTGTGCGATTATGTTTCTCATAACATTTCAAGTCAAGGATCCTTATGATAACATGATTAAGCTCTTCCAAACAAGGGTACGCCAGGGTAAACATATCACTACTCACTATGTATTCTGCAGGCCCAAACCCAATCAAGGAGGTATTTAAACCCAAAACTAATCATTACTCTTGTTGAAATCGGCTCTTTCTTGAGATTTTGAAGTATTTGGTTTGTTTTGATAGTGAAATACATTGGGATCAAGAAAGTTGTCAAGAGAGATATTGAGCAAGTTGTCAAGAGCCATGTTCCGAAAGATGTCAATAAACAAAAGTAAGTGATGGAAACATCTATCTTACATGGGTCTTTACTTTGCTTTTGTGTGCCACAAGGAGTTAGAATCCAAAGATGCTCCATTGGTCCTATAGATGTGACTTTAATTAATTACTTATGGGAGCTCTTGTGTTGCTAGGGAATGAACTTATATATTGTGCGACTTGTACTGTTTTTCTTTTTATACGTATCGTTTATTATTATGAGTATCAACATTATGTTTTAAAATGAGTCTTTGCTACTTTGTTCAACGGAAGCTTTAAAGCTTCCAAAATTTTCTCCACCGTTAAAGCTTCCAAAATTTCCATACGTCAGTGGAGCAAAAGGGAGATAATTAGTATAACGATTATAAGACCTGATTTAATCTGGAAATCGACGGTCACCGCGACAAATTAGCGACATAAATTTGAAGAAGAAGACATTTATTTTAAATTATCTAAAGTCTCCTAAAATTAATTTAAATAGTTTAAAGACAAATTAAGTTTTGAATAACAGTAGATTTGACATGATTCTGGTAAATCATATATTGAATAACAAGAGATTTATAATACTATTTTGAGTGATTATAAGCAAAATTCAAGTTCAATATTTGGAAAAAAATTGGAAACTCTTTAATTGAATAAGAGCTGATTTAAGAAAGAAATCAAACTCCTCCAAAATACTAAAAGTACAAAACTTAGAGGGACTACACTAGAATTAATCTATAGGAGTCCTGGAACTGATATCATCAATTCATATATAAAGTCACTTGCATGACAAAACTAAAGGGTTCTTTAGTTCATAAAACGCAAGGCGATATCAGAGTCAAGAGGAGCGATGGATTATAAACCTTTTAAAGAATGGGATCATTTGGACATACCTGCATATCTGCAACCTGACCCTGAGCATTCTTATATTCCGTGTATAAGACGCGGTGAGGATGATGGACCTCATCTCACGCCCGAAGAAGAGGAACACCCAGGGCCGTAACTCAGCAGAGCAAGAAGAAACAATGGACTTGGGCCCCCATTTCTAAGGGCCCCCCAAAAAGTTTTTTATTTGTATAGGTTATATATATAGTAATAATAAGATTGTACGTATATAGAAGAAACAACAAGCATAAAACTTTTTTTTGTTTATATTTGAAACCGAATGCATTTGAATATGGTTTTAAGATGCGAAATAGGGGCCCCCATTTTCTGTTTTGTTTGTGGCCCCATTTACCTTAGGACCGGCCCTGGGAACACCTTATGCAGAAACAAGTCATGGAGACAGAGGTTTTGATCTTTCTTCATTCATCAGTCATCTTGTAAATTTTGTAAGTTGATTTTTGGATTCTTAGGGAGATCTTGTGTTTATAGGGATTCGAAATCGATTTCAAGCAGTTCCGCTGCATTTTTAACTACATACCTATTGATTTGGATGACAACGATTTAACCATGGAACCAGAAACTACGAGAGAGTTAATGGATAGGCTGTCTCGGGAATCACTTGAGAGATACAATGAAAGAGAGGTTGAAAACTCGAAACTATTTTCTCATGCTTCTGCTTTAAAGTCGTGTTATCAACACTAATACAAGATGAATGGTTTTTTGCTTTTGTTTTAAAAACAGAATACAAAATATGAATTTGTGAAATTTATCAATGCCAATGTTCATTTAAATTGTAATCCTTCCATAACGTATTACATCACCTTTGAAGCTAAGGATCAGAGCCGACGCTGACAAATGAGAGGCCACAAGCGGGGAAAAAAATTTGGGCCAGTTTTTTTGACAGCAAACGAGGGAAAAAAATAATAATGCATTTTGGCAGCTTAAAAGGTTCGAACCTAGGAAAGAGAGGAGAGCAGCCTTATATCCCTTATATCTACACCACTAGACTAAAACTGATTTATTAAAATGGGGGCCGAAATCTTTATATAAAATGGGGCCACAAGCATGGACTTCATCAGCCTGTCCCAAGGGCCGGCTCTGCTAAGGATCCTTCCAATGATCAGCAAAAACATTTCCAAACTAAGGTCTGCTATTGTTTTCGTGCACCGAACAAGTTCCTCTCTTGCAAACTGAAACCTGAGAAAAAAGGTATCCAACTCTCACATTGCCTTTTAAAAAAAAAAATTAAGGCATAAATGACTTTCTTTATCTTTGTTTTCTTGTTTGGATTATTTTTTGGCAGTTCACTCTATTAAAACTGCCGAGAAAGAAGATGTGAAGAAACCAAGGTATATGAAATTTCTTATCTTCTTACTTTGATGAGTCTTTTCCTTTTGTGTTGATTATAGATGATTCTTGTTCTATCTAAGGGTTTTATACTTTGCTAAATGTTTCTTGCTTCTTTTATTGATATCTTCAGAGGAGCTCTCTAATGTTGGTAGTGAGACCCAAGCACTTCTGTGATAATTGACATGAGTGAATATATTGCGAAACTTGTACTACTTTTACCATTCGCGTTCGCCTTGGTTCGTTTGTGTTTTCTGTTCTGTTTGTTATTCAAACTTTATCTAGAGTTTTGTTTTGTGTTTTTATATACTTTAAATGTGATATGTATTTACGACTTCACTGGTTTTTATTCCTAGTTAAAAAGGTATTTTGAAAGTTAATGTGCCAACCCGTACTATACATGCTTGTTCGTTCTCACTTGCAACGATAATAAATTCCACCTTACGATAGTGCAATCACTTCCAGTGTAAAGCATGTGATAAACCAAAAATAATTTATTTTCAATTTCTTTGTGAACATACATTCACTTTCACTTTCCGTAAATCACAAGAAAACGAATAATTATGATTCGTTCAATATTCTAACTCCACCAACAAATCTCTTGATCAAAAAGGAAACTTTCATTTTCAAAAATTAATTTTGCATTTGGGTAAATTTACCATTAATATAACATTTGATTTGTAATAGTCTGCATTCATTTATTCAACAAAAAATTGGGTTTATGAATGCATCGACTTCTATTGAGAAAAGAAAATAAATGTATGGATTTATGGTTGTAGTTGTTATAATATAAAATTTTATACATAGACCATTTAAACTTTTTTTAATAAATTTTATGACGCGCTAGAAAACACGCTAAAGTGTAAACATCGTATAAATGGAAGGTTTGGTTTTACAAGGAGCTCAACCTATACAATTGTTTTTTTTTGGATTTTTGGCAAAATAAAAAAAAAATGAAAAAGAAAGCGATACAGTTGTAAATGGGTCTATATCAGTGAAACTAAAGACTCATGCTTTTGGAAACGCCTATTAATTCTTCTCGCAGTGGTGGAGTTCTTTATCTCTAGATCCATGGCTTTGAAGATCACCAAAGGCAGTACATATAGATATATAGGCTTGGTAGTGGTGCAGGTTATTTCGCTGTTCTAGATGGCATTGCTTCGTTGAACCAAAGTATATTCATTATTGTTACATTGCTTCGTTTACTAATGAGTTTTGTATCTTCCGTCAATAAATTTATCGGACAACTAACATTATACAAATTTAATCGTTTCCTACTGTAAATCTCGATCCAATTTCACAGAAAAATTCGAGCATCAACCAAATGATCCATGCAAGGGGATTTCACTATTGATTCATTGTTTCTATTGAGCAAAAAGTTGAGACATCATTTTTTCTATTGAGATGCATACATTATCTTATTTTTTTCTTTCTTTTGTTAGGAAATATTGACTCAATCTCTCTCTCTCTCTCTAATGACGGTTTAATAACCATATATGTTATTGACTCAATTATTGTGATGGGAATTAACCTTTCTATGATCAGCCAAAATCTCCAAGCTAAGGTCTGCTATTTCTATCATGAACCGGCCAAGTACATCTCCTGCGAGCTAAAACTTGAGAAAAAGGTACTCTTTTCCTTCCAACAATTTGAAAAAGTAATAATTGTTTCTATGTAATAATATGCAGCTTTAGGATCAATCATAGGATTTTTTTTTTGATAAAGCAAAAAAATACTATTATCAATCATATATAGGATTGTTGCAAAGGAATAAATGATTTACATTTGTCTCTTTCTCTATGGAAGATGGGTCCATATTTGTTTCCTTGTATGTTGAGATAAATTTGAAACTGGTTATAATATTGTGCTACTTATTAAGATTGTTTTGGCAGTTCACTCCATTGAAACTGCGGAGACAGAAGATGTCAAGAAACTAAGGTATACAAAATATTTATCTTTTAACTCTGATGAGTCTTTTCATTTGTTTTGATTTTAGATCAGTCATGTTATATATGTGAAAGAGAAGATAATCAATTTAAAATCAACCATACAATATTCTAACATCAAAGTAAAAGCCCTTGTAGATATATATTTCATTACCTTTGTTTCTTGAAATCTCTCTCCACATCTTTCTTGATACTTCCAACGCATTTCATATTTAACAAGGTGCAAAAGCCTAAGAACTATACAGTCTATACTATATAGGATTCATTAATTGTGAGCATTTTGACTTGGAACATGTATTATACATCACCCGAGGGGGATTAGTGTAAAAACCAAACTATAAGACTAAATGCTAAAATTACAAAACTTAGAGGGACTGCAGTACAATTAAACTTGAATAGTTGGATCTTATCTTTTTGATGTATAGAAGATTCCAGAACTACTGGAACTGATTTTAATTCATAAAGTCACTTTGTTCCAAAATCATTGCTAGCTACACGAACTATACGCCAACACATCACCACACATGCAGACTATTTTAATGTTTCGCTAACTACACGAACTATTGGTATTACATACGGACATCCCTGAACTATCATCGGTTATGTGTGCAACACCATAACCATCATTTCCAAATAATATAAATGTCTTGTTAACTACACGAAGTATTTCTTTTTTTTGTCAACTACACGAAGTATTTTCATCAATTTTTTTTTAAAACTAATAAGTTAAATAAAACTATATAATATATCAATTTAAATTATAATGCACACATATATCAATGTAAATTATAATTTAATTAAGTGACACTTTTAAAAATTTAGTTAAATTAATTTCATATAAAATATATGTGTGCATTAAAAAATAGTTAATTAATTTAACTTAAAATTATAAGGGATACTACATATGTGTTGGGGTCGGATCCCACACATTTTTGGTAGGATCCACTTGGATCTGTCCACGTCATTATTACATAATAATTCTCTTGGAGTTAAAGATATTTTATTATGAGAATCAAGCTTGACCAGTCGGGAGTTCGATTCGGTTTACTAAAAGAGTTCGATCTTTACCAGTACGGAGTTCGCTCTTATTCAACATACAGTTCGCATAGAGAAAGGCCGAAGCAAGGAGAATATTGTTCGAGGTTCGCGGCAGCGTCAAGACGCGGGAGTTCGGAGTCAACAAGAAAGAGTTCGGAAGATCCGCGCGAAGCCCAAAATAGTTCAAATTCAAGCCGTTTCGGTCAAAATGTAAATTATATGATTAATGCGGATCAATGCGATTATGAGCAGTAAATGACCGCATTGATCATGTTTTCTCTATAAAAACAACCTCAAACGCATGTGTTTGAGGGGAGAGGCGACTATTCATTACTTCTGAGCAATACAATATATTTTTCTCTCTTTACTATCTTTCGCAAGGCATTTTGTACTTCGTCTTTATCAATTTTTCCTCATTTCTTTTCTTGGTTGATTTCCTTTTCAAATTCTCATATTTATTTCCTGATTTTACAAGAGTTTTTCTCCACAAAAATACTTAAAGATAATCGAGTGTGAATCCTACATCCACAATATGTAGAATTTAAACTTTAAAAGTTATAATGCATATATATAATTAACAATAGTGTATTATTTACTTTTAGTTATTTTTTCATTTTGTAATTTAGTTTTTAAAAAATGATGGAAATATTTCGTGTAGTTAACAATACATTTATATTATCTGGAAATGATGGTTATGGTATATAATTTACATTGATATATTATTTAGTTTTATTTAACTTATAGTGATGTATAATTTAACTAAGTGACTATTTTAAATTTTTAACAATTTAATATAATAAATATTAAATTAGTTAAATTAATTTAACTTAAAAGTATAATGCATTAAAAGTTATAATATATATATATATATAATTTATAATAGCGTAATATTTACTTTTTAGTTATTTTTTTATTTTTAATTACTTTTTAAAAAAACAATTGATGGAAAATACTTCGTGTAGTTGACAAAAAAAAAAGAAATACTTCGTGTAGTTAACAAGACATTTATATTATCTGAAAATGATGGTTATGGTGTTGCACACATAACCGATGATAGTTCGGAGATGTCCGTATGTAATACCAATAGTTCTTATTGTTAACGAGACATTAAAATAGTCTGCATGGGTAGTGATGTATTGGCGTATAGTTCGTGTAGCTAGCAATGATTCTTCTTTTGTTCATGGCGATATCAGATTCGGGAGGAGCGATGTCCGATGATTTACCAGGTACGAATCCAATACTAAATCTTAGCATCTAAACATAAATAAAAAGTACCGATCGACGGATCATATCCCTAACTTCGAACTTTCCGGTCGGCTCTCAGAATGGACCATTATGGAAATACCTGCGTACTTAAAACACTTGCCTGGTTCAGAGCCTGTGGATGCTTATATTCTGTATATAAGACGCGGTGAGAATGAAGAGCCTAATCTCTCGCCCGAAGAAGAGGAACAACTCATCAAGGAACAAGTCTTTGAGAGCGACGTAAGTTTTTTCTTCTTATTACACTCTTTTATGATTGATTTGTCCAAGTCTTTGAAAATATAGTGTTATATAGTGTTACAATGTTATTTTATGTTGTTGATTCTTGCGGAATCTTGTGTTTGTTAATTTATAGGGTTTTGACATTGACTTCAAGCAGTTTCGGTGTCTTTTTAATTACCTACCTCTTAATTTCGATGATAACAACGAGTATGTCATGGAACCCGAAACTACGAGAGAGTTGATGGAGAGGCTTTCTCGGAAATCCCTTGAGAGATACAATGAAAGGAAGGTCGAATACTAATTAGTTCAAACTCATTTAAGAAAGATGTGCTTATTCATGAATGGTTTTTAATTAGCTTTGTTTTGAAAACAGGATACAAAATATGAATTTGGCAAGGCTATCAAAGCCAATTTTTACCCGACTTGGGCTGCTTCGGTAATGTATTTCATTACCTTTGAAGGTAAGGATCCTTCCGATGGTCAGCCAAAACATTTCCGAGCTAGGGCGTGCTTATTCTCAATTTAGAGGTAATGGAGAAAGTGTTTAAGTGTTTGAGAGAGAGTTTTAGGAAATAGAACTTTTATTACTTTGATTTTAACTTGAAGACAACTTCACAACCTTACAACAAATGAGAGAGGGAGGAGGTATTTATAGCCTTCAAACTACAAAATATCTAAAATATTTTAATCCTAAATCTAGATTATTCCATCATAATATCTAGATTATAATAATAAAATTATCTAGATTATTCTATAAAAATATCTAGATTTTTATGTTTAAGGAGGTGATGGAAGATCATTCTAGAGATCTTCTAGAACTTTTTAAGGAGGTGAAGATGATGATATTTCTAGAGAAAACTCTAGAGCTTGGATTTGGCCCATCAAATGATTATTGGATAATTGATCCAATAATTAAACTTGATTCAAAATCAAGTTTAACTTTCAACAAGTCCACCCTTGTACATCTCATGCAATCCCAAACCTGAGAAAATAGGTATTCTTTTCTTTTACTTTTTCCTTTTAGCTTTTGGATGAATCATTGGTTTTATTTGTAGATGGGTCTATCTTTTTCTTCTTCTTCTTGATTTCTCCTTTTCTATTTATAATTTTGGATTGTTTTGGCAGTTCACTCCATCGAAACTGCAGAAAAAGAAGGTGTCAAGGTATATGAAATATATATCTACATTATAAAACGTCTTGCTAGTTTTATGATTCTGACTGTTTGCTGAACGTTTCTTGTTTTTTTTTTTGATTGATTGCTATCCTCAGACAGATAGAGGAGCTATCGAACGTCTAATATATCACTGGTGATGACGCAATTACTTTTACGATAATTGACCGAGACTTGTAATACTGTTTATTGTTTGCCTTGCTGGCTTCTTGTTTTTAGATCTGTGTTGTAAACTTTAACTAGAGTTCAGACTCTTGTGTATTTTTCACAAACTTCAAATAAAACTTTAGCTAGCTAGGGACTAGCAATTCTAGTGATTGCGATATGGGGTCACGACTTCACGGCTTTTACAGTGAACAAATCACGGTTCATTAATCACATTCCAGCCGTCTTAATAGAAACAGTTCGATGTTGAATGGGTTTGGTGATTGTTTTCAGTTAAAATTTAACGAAAAGGTTCAGACAACTAATCAGATTTTCACGACAGCGTTTCTCACTATACCCAGCCCACGAAAGAACTGTTTATTAATGGGCCTAAAAGCCCATGGACCAGATATATACGCACCTAATAACTCTCTGTTCCGTTCTAGCTTTTTTTTTGTTTCACAAATATTAATTTTTTAGGTTTTTGTTTTATTTTTATTGATTGATATTAATATATCGTAAACTTCAAAACACAATGATTAACTGTTTCATATTATTATTGGTTCAAAATGTTTAATTTTAAAAAGAAGTATTGTTAAATAATTAAACAATGATTGTATCTTAATATATTTGAAAACTCTAGAACATCAATTTTCTAGGAAGAGAGGGAGAATAAGACAAGTGGGAAATGGGGGATATATCATCACATTTAGGGTATTCAAGAGAAACCCTAAACTAGTTTTCTTTGTAATCTCATCATTAGTTCACCTATTACTGTAACATTCAATCAATAAACTCTTTATTCATTCGTTCTATCAATCTTTTTAATTCGAGCTATCATAACGAAGATGTAAACCTAAAGTCTATGATCTAAATCATAAATACTAAAGTGGAGATTAATGCCACTGAGGATATTTTAGAATTTAAACGTGTTACTGATGAAAATGCGAGCCCCGTTGGTCGTTACCCATTCTAAACACCGTGTGATGGCTTGGTGGCAACAATCTAAAAAATCACGGGTAAATGGCGAATTGTTTATGGGAACGTTTGACAAAGCATTATGAGTGGAGGATTATGCGACTGCTTTGTTCACATGATCGCAAGGACAACGTTGTTAGAAGCGAAAGAGCAACTCGTGTCGTGTTTCATCGGTGATCGGTGGCTTGCATTCTCAACAACAAAATGCGCTCCAACAATTTAACCTTATAACGGTCTCGCAATGGATATTCAATATCGTTTTTTGGATTTCATCTGTTTCTCTCGTTCACGTTTTCAAAACACGATCACTGGTGAATCAAGCAGGTCCTTCCACTGAACCTACTTTTATGAATCTGTGTATCTATTTTTCTTTTCACCAGCATTCATATACGATGAACTATGGATTAATTGATAATCGTTTATTTATTAATTAAGTTATTACTTTCAAAGTGTCTCTCCTCAAATTAATTATTACACACCCTATAATCTATTGTGGTTACCATGTCTTTTGAGATAATTCAAAACAAAACAAAAAGACATAAAACAAAATGCGAAAAGAAAGAAGGTTTTCGTTCGTTCATAAATTGAAATTTGTAGCAACGTAGTGCACCACATGGAAGACAATTCCTTAGTAAATTAACCAGCAGATTTCTCACCCTTGCACTTCAAAAACTTGATCAAGAAAGCTGCATGGTATTAAAATAAAAAGATTAGTAGAATTATCAATAAAATAGATAACTACATTTGTTATATGATCAACTACTATATAGTATATATGCGATTCAAAAAAAATAAAAATCAACCCAATATATACCTCTGGGTACATGTATGCCATTATCAAATATTGATTTCCTTTAAGACTGACTTTTCGGACTCATTTCCCAAAGCCATTGTCACCTCCCCATGTGGTTCCCCATGTACCTTGATACTCAAAGTAATGAACCCCATTTCTTGTTCCAATCCCAGTAATTAGAACTATATGGTTTTCTGCATCGGTATTGCTGTTCTTTGGACCATAGTATATCTCATCCTAGCTAATTAAAAGGAAATACAGTTATATAAAATGAAGCAAAAATGTGAAGATACTATTTAAAAGAAGGATTTGTACCCACCTTACGACTTCCCTCGTCTTGCTTGCTTACTCTTATATGAGCTGCAATTGGACCTCGTGTTTGGAGCAGTCGTATTATTTGTTTTTCATCAATTTTCTCCTCTACAACGATGAAATCACGGATCTTGAAAGCCATTTTATCCTGAAATTTTTATATAAAAAAACGTAAATTTTAATCCAATATACTTTTTGAGGGGGCCATATGATCAAATATACTAATAATTACTTGGTAACATTTACTTACTTTTACTTTGTCACATGCACTTTTGCTTATCTTATATTTCCCCACATTGCATTTGCACTCCCTTTCTAAAACCATGCCATTTTCCTTTAGAAAAATCTTCACCCCATTGTAGCTTTTGAGAAATCCATTGGAAAACTTTTCTTCAATATTTGCGAAAAGGTGGTGTTTTGCAGAAAGGTTCAAAAGCACTCCAACTTTTTGGTGGATGTATAGATGAGATGCTACCACCATACTGAACACTATGGTCCAACAATATCCTAGTAATACCATTTACCATATTGATCTCTATAAATAAATGAATAAAGTAACCAAAACAGAGTGTGAAATCTTTGTGATCAACGCAGTAATCTTGTATTTTTTTGGGAAGATTGCAATAAATCACCTGACCATCGTATTTCCGTTTTGTTTATAAGTTGGCTTTATACGTTTTTTTATCTTTCTTTTTTAGTTGAGCGTATGTTTTTCTTTTATTTTAAGTTTGGATTTGTGTATGCTTTTATTTTTAGATAGGATTCTTTTAAATAGATACACTCCATGTGCTCTGTTTAAGGGTACACAATACACATTTGTAAGAGTACAAAATTTCTTATTGATTTTAAAATTAAAAATTGTTTTTTCCGAAAAAAAACACTCTTTTTGAAACGCTAATTTAATACAATTGTATATATGTATTTCATCACTAAAAATTAATACTAACTTATATATCTTCAATGAAAATAATAGTTTTTCTATTGTAATAATAAAGAGAAGAGAACTTTATTTATACATATAATTTTTATCATTTTTTGTAACTATCTTTAAAAATTATTGTTAATATTGGTGAATAAAGGAAAACTAGAAGAAAAAAAAAACGAAAATGTTACAGAAATTAGAATTTTGTGCCAACAACACGTATTAATCTGAAAATAAGTATATTATTTTGAAATAATGATAATGATAAAATTGTGAAACGTGAGAAATTTATTTTCAAAATGTTTAAGGTTTATTAAGCTGGGGTTTAGAATTTGAAGTTTGGGTTAGGGTTTATTTGACTGTTTTCAATTTTGATAAAGAATTTATGTAATTCTTAACTCTTCCTTAAGTTATCGGAAAAAAAGACTTACCTACACGTCCTTGGTCTATGATCGGCAGCAAAACTGTTTTTTTGTTTTTGGGATTTCTCCAACTCATATTGTAACTACATCCATCAGGAAGATCCTTATTACAAGAGAAAAACTAAAATGTTAGAGAATATCATATTTATGTACAAAATTATAGAATATTTATAATAAATAGCAAAAAGGTAAATTATATATACCTCAGGAAGTTCTGAGGGTGTCTGTATCAATAAAAATATATATGTTAGTAATTAAACTTTGCTTGTCTATTATAGATTATGGTTATTCATTATTACAAACGAATCTGCTTACCGCATCGACCATGATATCTTTTCCTCTTCTTCTGTAGGCCATCTTCTGAGAATGTAATTGTCAAATAAAAAAAATTAGACATTACGCAGTAAGTATAAACTAAGCTAGATGAATGATTAAGAGAGAGAGAGAGAGTGAGATGAGAAAACAAATTAAACCTTAGACTTTCGGTGAATGTGAGAGAGAAAGAATGAGGTAAGAAAACATGTGAATGTAACAAATATATAAAGAGAAAAAAGAAAAAAGGAGAAAGTGAATATGGGGGGGTAAGAGACAGAGAGAGAGCTTATACTGTTTATTTTCTAGAAGTTCAAAATTAATCAAAATGTTTTAGTATCTGAAGATGTTGTGTTTTTGTGCTTGTAAATATTAGTAATTTGTTTTTCAAACAGCTTTATTTCCTTTGATGGTAACAAAAAAAAACTCCGAAAAAAGACTCAGATTTTTCCCATTGGTTTGGAAAACCCACCACATTATACTCACATAATCAACATGACGACAAATACTCCAATCTTTTCCATTATTCGTAATTTTTATATATCTGACTTTGTTTATTTGTTTTCACAGTAATACTATTTTTGTCAACTCATAGTCTTACAATTTAATACTATATATTTATTGGGCTCAACCATACTCTAATATTTGAAAACGACTACAAAATTAATGGTATTGACAAAATTGTAAAAAAGAAAAAGGTTTTCAGCGATAAAACAAAAGGTTTTAGACAGACAATAAAACAGAGTAACGTGAAATGCCACATATGAAATAGTGGAAAAAGGTTACCCCAAAAAAACTGATAGAAGAAAAATGGAAAAAGAACATACACAAACGTACCGTCGATATATGGTTCCATGCTACTACGTGACTGACATATCCCTTAACATGTGGGAAGTGAGCCCATTTGTTTTTTTTTTTTTGTTAAAGTTTATTAAATGGTGATTACTCGGTTAAGCTAATATATTCATTATTAAAAAAATTCTACACTAAACTCATCAATCGATATGATATACTACTATTAAAACTATTCTCAATTAACTTTCTCTTAAAGGCGACAAAACGAGTGAACCATATTATTCAGAGGTAGTTAAATTTAGTTTAGATAATGGTGGCTAAATATAAAGGCCCTAGAATTTAGAAAGAAATTAAATATAATATTGGTTCCTATATTAATATATTGGATCAACCATCAACTAAACTATTATATAATCGTGGGACCAGTACGAGGTTGGAAATGGTAGCTAGTCAGGGTACTATAGAGATTCGGATTCATTCGAGAAGAATGTTTGGCAAAAAGACCACACAAAATCGCTGGAAAAAATATATTATTCAATGATTTGTTAAATAAAAAAAGTTTATTCAATGCTTTTATTTATTTATCCAATAAAAATTTCACAACTGTGTCTTTTTTTAATATAAATTGTGTGTTCTCTATTACTCCATTTTTTTCTATTTAGTTGAAGTTCAAGGTTTTGACACATAAATTAAGAAATTATTTAATTAATCATATTTTATTTTAAAATATGATTAATTTTTTATTAAAAAAAATTCAAGCAATAAAAAAAATACAGAATTTCAAAAATCAAAAAATTAAAACAATAATTTATTTTGCATTAAAAATCAAAAACACCAAGTAAAATGAAACAATTTTTTTTTTGCTTAAATAACACTTAATAAAAAAAATAGAGGGAGTATTCTTTTTTTGTTTGCCAGCCATGTTCCCTATTATCCTTACTGGTTGTCTTTTCTATTTGTTTTTGGTTTTTAGCTTTGATTTCAATAGTTCATCATTGTTTTTGTCAACTTTATTCTTAAATATTCAGGCCACTTAGTATTTAACAACGGTTACATGGTAAGCAATTACTAATACATTATCAGACCTTGACAAAAATAAGAATATAAAAATATATTTGTGAAACTAACAATAACGCGGATAATTATGATGCTTTGAATTCTCTCCACACAATTCCATTCGTAGAAGAAAAAGACTTTCCTTCTGAAAAATTAACTTTACGGGTGAAATTTTCTAAATTAATACAACAGTTGATTTGGATCAATGATATTTAAGCCATAGTATTCCATAGACTAAAACCAATGGTATTTAAACCAACAGATCCAATTGGGAAGATAGTAGGTGAAAACTGTAACTAAAGTGTGTCATCTGTCAATCGGATGGTCAAGATGAAATACTACAAATAGTATAAGAGAAAAAACAAAACCGAAAACGGTTTTGGAATTGAATCAAATTGTGAATGATCAGAACATAATTTAATACGAAACACCATCGCATGGTGCCCTAAAGCATTAGTATAGGCCACATATTTTTTTTATTACACATGAGACAAGAATATTATATAAAATACATATCGTTACAATGACATTCGGAAGTCATCCTAGGATATATTTAAAAAATACCATTTATCGTAAACTTGTAGTAAGAAATTACTTCAATTTTCCAAATTAATATAACAGTGATGTCAAAAAAACTTTTTAATATAACAGTTGATTTGGACCTCAACATGATATCCCTATTATTATCTTATTTTTGGATATTATATTGTTTATATTGTTTGCCTTGTCACGTACCAATTTTTTATGAATATGGTTCGCGTAAAAAGTTACGACCTTGTCTTGTGAAAAAAAAACAAAAAAATGGTTTTATTGAAAAGCACACTACTATGCCCTAAGGAAAGCAAAGGTCGGTAGTCGCTGGATCAGACATCTGAGATTCTGAGTAAGGGAAGAAAAACTAATTTTTTTCCACAATTAATTAAATAAATTATCAGTTAACAAGAAATGAAATAAATTATCAAACCTTACAAAAAGAAAAAGAAATTTAAAATATATTTGTGAAACTAACAAGAAAGCGGATAATTATGATGCTTTCCTTCAGTCTAACTCTATACACAAGTAATATAAATTAATTTTGCTAAATATTATCTGCTTTTGGGCGAATTTCTATATTAATATAACAGTTAATATGGACCTCAACATAATATTTATAATAGTCTAGATTCATAGTATTTGAATCAATGGTATTGCCAAAGTATCCATAGAATAGACTAAAATCATTAATGGCATTTAAACCAACAATTCCAATTGGGAATATAGTTGGTGAAAACTTGTAGAATGTGTTATTTTGTCAATTGAACAGTGAGGAAGAATTACTAGATACGGATTACGGAAGAAAAAAACTAATACAAAAATAACACTAGCTAAAACTCATTATATTACACATGACTTTATAGGGTATTCACATTTATTTTTGGTAAAATAGAAATGAAGTCAACAAAAATCATGTTTAATGAGTTTTCCCTTATTATCTCTTACAAAATAAGTCTTCCAATTTATTCTACTAGAAAATAGACCCACGCGTTGCGTGGATTTAATAATATATATTCAATTTTTTATAGTTTTGTAAATTACATTATTTAAAAAAATTTTTATTCGAATACTATTTAAAATATATATGTAATTCTATTGGTAAAAAGCGGTTATATAAATATAATATAAATGTTATAAGAGATAATTGTATAGATGTACACGTCTATTTATAATATGCTACATATATTAAACGATCTTTTTTGTATTTGACTTAGTATCTTATGACCGTTCATTATATATATTCTCTTTTAGTGCATGAATTCTTATGAATAACATTTTTTTTTATATAATTCTAGAAACTCAAATGTGATATTTTAAATGTGGTTTATTTTTTCTAATTTATATCTATTGTATTTAGAAGAAAAAAAGAAAAAAAATATACTTTTATATATATATATATATATATATCTCAATTTATATATTTGCTTTTCTTTAGGAATTTAGCTTTCTGAGACTAATTTTGTCACTATTATTTTTTTTTTTACTTTTTGTTTCTATCTTATTAAATTCAATGTTGCAATTGTGCTTTTTCTGCTTCTTTTTGATATTTTTAAAATAAACTTTTATATTTTTAATAAGTGCATAATATTTGTATTACTATCAAATGCATTTATACACCATCAAACGGTGAGCCATCAACAATGGGAGCTGCCAACCTCCGTAGAAGCCTATCTCCGCTACATGCCGAATTCGAGGCCCTCCTTTGGGCGATGAAGTGTATGATTGGTGCAGATAATCAAGAGGTAGCATTCCTTACAGACTGTTCTGACCTGGTGAAGATGGTGTCTTCCCCAACCGAATGGCCGGCCTTCTCAGTGTATCTGGAGGAATTTCAGAGCGACAAAGAAGAGTTCTCTACCTTCTCTTTATCTTTAATTTCTCGTTGTGCAAATGCAAAAGCGGATAATCTGGCACGAAAAATTCGTACGGAACCGCTTCATATCACTTATGTAAACAACATTCCACAAGAATGGCTCTTTTGAGTAATATTTAATTACAGATGACAAAAAAAAAAAAAAAAAAAAAAAATCAAATGCATTTATACATTTACTTATATAAAATTTTATATTATATTTATACAAAGCTAAAATATTAAAAATATACATAATTATATTTTAGTTTTGTTTTAAATTATTATACACGATACTATTTAGCTATATTTTAACATTTTGTTTACTATAGTTTACAAAGTAATCAACTATTGTTTCAATTAGTAATATGTCATAAGATTCATCACTAATTCACTATATAGTTTTTTAAAAAACTAAAAATGTATGCTTTTTCAACTTTCATAGAATTTTAGAATTACCCAACATATTGATTTTTAAGTATTTCATGATTCATTACTATATTTGTTTTTTGAAAGTTAATAAATGTAGGATCTTTCAACTTTCATATAATTTTTGCAATATCCATCATATTTATTTTGAATATATCAATTTTAAAACTGAAATATCCATCATACTGATTTTTATTATCTCAATTTTAAAACAGAAATTTTTATAAAATTTTAAATATGATTAATCTTAAACATTTTCTCACTAAAATTCAATTTCTATTATTATGTATAAGTTTATATTTCTTTGTGTTTTACTTATAATATTAATTCATTTGTATTTAACTTAAATATTTTTAATCATAAATAACAATAACTAAAAATAAATATGTATTGAATGAGCATTTAAAATAAATTATGTTTTTAATTTTTGATTAAATGCATGCTTAGGTGAATGATGAGTTGATAGCCTAGATGGAGAGAAGACTAAATTATATTATTATGTATAAATTTATATTTCTTTGTTTTTTATTTATAATATTAATTTATTTGTATTTAACTTAAATATTTTTAATCATAAATAACAATAACTAAAAATAAATATGTATTGAATGAACATTTTAAATAAATTATATTTTTACTTTGTAATTAAATGCATGCTTAGGTGGATGATGATGTGGATAGCCTAGATGGAGAGAAGACTCTCCTATTATATATATAGATTTTTATTTGTTCTCTCTCGTACGAGAACATTTTTTCAAATAGACAAAATCGGAACGATCCATACCGATTTTGTTTTTTTCCCTCTACATTCTGTCACACCTCATTTAAACAAGAATTGGGATTCAAATATCATGATTACTTCATAGATTTTTATATTATGATTCAGATTTGAGGATTCGGATTAGAATTTTGAAGTGGTATAAGATTTAAGTTTCTCTTAAAATAATTACCATGCATGTTATTTGCATTAGAATTGTTCTGCTTCATTTACTTTATATTCAAGCACACCCACAATTAGTAATTCGGATAGGTAGCATCTTAATTTACTATATCACATGTTACTTATATAACTCATTTTCTACTCGAGTGCTTTATATACGAGGAAAGAGTTTTTTTTCACAGGAAAAAAATAAAAGGTTACTAAGAAAAGGTAATCTTTAATGAGATGTTAATAATTCTTTGCTTAACAATCAAGTTTTTTTGTTTTATTATTTGTGAGCTCCAACAAAAGACAGGTTGTTCTTTGCCAAGGTTACAGAAAAGAAAATGCTCACGGTTAAAATTTTGTCGAGAATATCATTTGACTATTATAAAAACTCACCAAATCAAACTCACATTGCTCACTCACATATTCAAAGCTTTATATTTGATCAGTAATAATTCAAATTAGGCCTGGGCGTTTAATCCGAATCCGAAAATCCGAACCGCATCCGAAAGAAAAACCGATCGGATATTAATTTTTATATCCATCAGATATCGGATAATACCCGATCCGATCTGATATCCGACGTGTATCCGAACATATCTAAACTCTCCTCTATTACCTTAGAGGCCTAGACTATCAATACGTACGAGATCAAGATCAACTTCCCTTATCTTGATTTTCCTAGCAAATCGGGATCCACTCCCCTAGCAGTTAAGCATAAAATCCTAATCTCTCAATATGGAATCCCTAATCTATATATCGTCCCAGTCTCATCCATCAGAATTCAGACTTCAGAGACATCAAGAAATCGATCTCGGGTATGTCTTTGAATTTCAAATAATGTTCCCCGGTAGTAACATCATTTTTTCCATTATTCTCTAGATTTTGTTTATATAAATACGAAGTTCTTTTTTTGTTCTGATTTTGCCGTATTTATTTAATGGACAAGGTTTCGATTGGGTGGTAGTTGAACGAAACTAAAAGTATGGGGCGAAAAGAGGAAAATAAAGAAACAAAAGGAACATTGAGTAAAATAAATGAGATATTATTATAGAGAGATCTAGAAGACGGGGAATCTAAAAACACTCCCCCAAAAGCGAAACTGAAAATTGAGAAGAAGAAAAAAAAATTAGGGTTCTTCATCAACAATAAGCGATGGGTGACTTTGAAGGTACGATTTGAATTTCGTTTATCTAAAGTTGAAAGGTTTATAATTTGGTCTCGCCCGATTACAATGTCTCAGGCTGGACTAAGTGGCTGGTACCAGGGTTTTTGCTGTGGAAACCAGAGGATCCTGGCTATGAGAGACCTGCGTACAGGGATTGGACCGAGGAGGAGGATGAGCCTAAGTACTCACCAAAGGAAGAACTTGCCTTACTCGACAAACAAATCCTTGCAAGCGATGTATGTTACATTATTTCTATCCTTTTGGTTAATAATGAGTTCTATAGATAAATTTGTGAAATTAATTGAGAGTTTGTGAAACGTCAACAGGGGTTTGATATCGACTACACACACTTCCGGTGTGTCTTCAACTACCATCTTGCTTATCTCGACTCAGATGAATTCGCTGAGGAGCCAACAGAAACCACTAGGGATTTACTCGAGAGGCTCTCTAGGAAGGCCCTTGATGACCACAATCTCGAATATGTGAGAACTAACCTATATATATATATATGCCTTGTGCTTTTATCAAATGTTGCATCTATGTATGATCGATTCTTTTCTTCTCTCTTTGTTTGGAAAAACAGGGAACAGAATTTGAGTTTGTCAAGGTTGTGAAAGCCAACTTTCACTGGTGTTGTGCATATATGTTTCTCATAACATTTGAAGTTGTTGATCCTTATGATAACTTGATAAAACTCTTCCAAACAAGGGTTCGCTACGAGACAGATATCGTGACTGAGTATGTCTTCTGCAGGCCGAAACCCAATCAAGGAGGTATCTCTAATCTTGTTTTGTTTTCCATCTGTATAGTTGTTGTTCGTTGTTGTGGAATATATATTTGCCTCTTTCACCCACCATGGAAGATGGATTAAGCTTTTCGTGGCTATTTCTTTAGTAGATTTATAGTATTTGGATTTGTTTTGATAGTGGAATGCATTGGTGTGAAGAACAATGATGGTGTTGGGAATGATGTCCAAAACAATGTCAAGAAACAAAAGGTAATCGAAAGATGTATAACTGCAAGAGTGTTTTCTTTACTTTAATTTGATGTCAAGATTCCTTGTATGTATGGATGGTTTTTAACAGTTATCGGCTTTCTCTTTACAGATTGGAGTATGAGCTTCTATATGCCACAAGCAGTGAGAACCGAGAGATGCTCGATTGTTATTATATCTATTTGCGTCCTAAATTTGACTTGAGTTGCTGTATTGCTGCCTACAAATTAAAAACTTATTGTATGAGATGTTCTTTCTACTGCTTTTTTTTAGCTTGTGTCGTTGTTTACTATATCTAACTCCAGCATTGCGTTCTTTAAAATAAAACTTTCTTTTCTGACGTTTGACACGCACTGGTCAATTTAGAATAAGATAATAACAATGTCTAAAACAGTAACAATGTCTAAACAGAAACAATAACTAAAACAGTAACAATGTCTAAACAGAAACAATAACTAAAACAGTAACAATGTCTAAAACAAACAAATATTAGCAACTAAAAGAAGTTCTGTTGTTACTCCCATCTTTGAACCCTTGAATCACTTTCTCAGGCGTCTTCTATTTCCCCTTCATATAGATCCAGAAGCTATATGAAAAATGTTTTTGTTAGAGTATGTAGATATATGTTATAAGTGTAACTAATAATTCCCATAAATATCATTACCGCAGGGTAAAGAATGCAGGTAAATAGAGACGGTTCTCCTGCAGGGCGACTGATTTTTCGTATGATTTTTCCATACCCATTGTTCCCCCATTTAGTACCTGCTGAATTTTGCGTTCTCCAGAAATGAATCCCTTCAGGCAGTTTTGTTCCGTAGCCATACACTAACAACATATGTTGGTCTTGCTTGCGGCTCCCTTTCTTAGGTCCTTCATATATTCCATCCTGTTAAACATATAAAAATGTATAACAAGAATTAAACAAACAATGTACCCGCCAAAAACTGTATGAAACTTAAGTAAACTAAAGGGACATGAATCCAAAATATTATATGCCTCTATGAAAAACCTTTGTATATATTGCCATTGGTTTTCATATATACTTACATGATTTATTTAGTGATTTCAAGCATAGTAGACTATTTATTTGTAGTCAACACAGGAAAAGACAAAAACATGGTCTTAAGACTCAACACCAAACATAAATTTTGTTAACAAATCCAGTTAAATTTTTCATGTTCCACAGACACCAAAACCACGATAAGGTAAAATCCGTATTATTAAACCAGAACCAATTACTACGACGTTGATTGCTTTAACAATTCTTCTAGTCATAACGCAACATTTAGAATATATTAGAGATAAAAGATTGTGCTAACCCCTTTGAATTTCGAGAATTTTCTGTGAACATCGATAGAAACAGCAACAGGGCCCTTGGTGACCAATTGTATAAGTTTTCCTTCATCTACTTTGTCCAGAATGATTAAATCTTCGACTTTAAATGTGCGATTATGCTGCAAAGTAAAGAAATAGATTAATATATATTAACTAAATGACACCACACAGAGAAGAAAAGAAAAAATCACTGAACACGAAAGAAAGTCAACAAAAAAAAAGTTTAATTAGTTACCATGGATTTGCCTTTTTCGGTACACAAAACCGGATCGGATTTAGAGGCATCATTTTTCATTTTCAATGCTAACTGAGGACAGCCACATTCTTCTTCCGAAACAGTACCATGATCGATCATAAACTTTCGCAAGTGTTCTAAATTATTGAGTCCGCCTGTAGAGTCTACTTTGTCAATGAGACCAACAAGTAAATGGAGCGCTGATAAACACACCGGAGGTAGAAATCTCTTGTCGATTACAAGACGCGCAGACAAACTTCTTGTTGGTGGAATGGTCCAACAAACACCTTCACAAACATATTATTAAGTTAAAAAATTATATACAAATTAGTGCATAATAAGAATTAAACAAACCATGTATCAATAAGTACTGTATGAAACGAAAGGGACATGGATTCAAATTACAAAATATTATATGCCTATGACAAACCTTTGTATTTGCCATAGGTTTTCATATACTTTCATAATTTATATAGGAATCCAAAAACTCAAAACCCCAAATCAAAAATTGGATTTGACAATTCACTAAATTATCCAACCTTAAATTACTTCCAACTTTTACTTGAAATACTACTATATATCTAATAAAGTAAACTGAATATTTGAAACCATACTTATATTCATTTGATTTAATTAGAATCACATATTACTTACGTCGGTCTCCTTGGTCGATTACTTCTCTCATCACGCCCTCCACATTACACCAATCCAGATCTATGTTTTTAATGTTTGCCGGGATATCCTATATATAAATATTTATATGTGTATCAAATAATAAAGCCAGTTTTAGTTTTTAACATAACAAAACTAAATCAGATAAAATGAATAACATCAATGCAAATTCATACAAAAGTAAATATTAATATAAAAGGATGCTTAACTGTGGGATAACACTCGTCTGACTTCGTCAACTATTAGCATCATCAAGATAGAGCGATTAGTAAAAGATATATAAACAATTTTATTTGTTGCAAATGAATTATCATTCTTGCAAATAAACAACAAATTACCTTACTAATTTGTGGAGGTTTTTCTATCTTTTTTGATTTCTTTCTGTTTCCACCACCACCGTAAGAGAACATATCATCTTCCATCATGTTTTTTTTTCTTTTGTTATCACCATCGTCCATCTTTTTAATCAAACACTGATAAATCTTCAGTAGTTCTACAATAACAATTCGAAACAAAAATCTTCAGTTAAAATCTTAGGTTTCAGTAGCTAAGCGATACTAAAACCTGAAAAAAAAAGTGACTGAAAATAAAACAGTCTCGTAAGTTTGACGAAGAAGAACATAGAATCTCGAAAAATCAAACAATATAGAGAAATCATAAAAAATTTGCATTTGGAACCAGAAACTGGAAAAATCGTTAAAGGAGATGAACGATACTTGAGATTCAAAGAATATCCGTACGATTGAAAGATGAACAGAGAGGATTTCGAAAAATCAAAACCAAATACGCAAATCGTGAAGTTTTTCGGTAGCGATGAACATTTCAAATTAGAAACTGGAAAAATCGTTAAAGGAGAGGAACGATACTTGAGATTCAAAGAATATCCGTACGATTGAAAGATGAACAGAGAGGATTTCGAAAAATCAAACAATCTAGAGAAATCATGAAATTTTGCAGTAGCGATGAAAATTTGTAACCAGAAACTGAAAAAATCGTTGTAGGAGATGAACGATACTTGAGATTCAGAGAATATCTTCTAAAACCTGCAAAACAAAAATGACTGAACATTAAACAGAGTCTCCTAAGTTTGACGAAGAAGAACAGAGAGAATCGAATCTCGAAAAATCAAACAATATAGAGAAATCATGAAATAGCGACGAACATTTGCAACCAGAAACTGGAAAAATCGTTAAAGGAGATGAACGATACTTGAGATTCAGAGAATATCCGTACGATTACAAGATGAACAGAGAGGATTTCAAAAATTCAAAACCAAATACACAAATCGTGAAGATTTTCAGTAGCGATTGAACATTTAAAACCAGAAAAAAGTATATGAAAAACAAAATCGTGAAAAAGAAGAAGAAGATGAACAATGCACCATAGTATGTCTAGATGAACAGAAAAGTTCGAGGAAAAACAAAAAAAAAACTAAAAGGAACAGTGAGGTTTTAGATGAAGAATTTGTATCTATTTACCTATCTCAGCTTTACCTAACAAGAGAAAAAAGAATGAAAATCTGTTTAGCAGAGCGCAGTGCAGAGGAGCTGAAGGAGAAGAGCAAAAAGCAACAAAATAAAATAAAATTGGGCCCCACTTTACAATCTCCTGCAGATATATTATTGACGAAACTAGCCCTATTAAGTAATAACCGTTTCTACTAAAGCCTACAGTTATTAAATTACCCTTAATTTTCTATGTAAGAGAAAAAAAAAACAAAACAAATTTTATGTTATTATTCTCAAGGTCTCACAAGGACTAAATAACATGAGTAACCCATCTAATTCCAATGGAAATTCAATATAATTTACATGCATGTGTTTAAATTTTAAACACACAAAATAGAGTTGTTGTTTTTGTTAATAAGTGCAACGGATTCTGATTTTTGTTTTGTTGGTGAATTGGATTCTAATAACTTATGTATTTTCTAAATAAATAAAAAGAGAGGAAAACTAGTTTTGGGGTAAGTGAGGAAACGATACGGATCACTAACTGCTATTATCTGTTTTCGATACCAACATAATTAGAGCTTTATTAACTTATAAATTGAATAGTTGGTTGTTTTGTTAGAGAAAGAATTGATATATATTTGATATTTTTTCTCTTATTTATTCATCATTAGCAGCTGTCACGTGCCTTCCGTACAAGTTATGGGATATGGAAGAAATACGGTGCAGTGACTCACTGTCAAGAAAATGACGGTCGATTGACGAATTGAAATGTTGGATCTGATGAGTAAGGTAAGAAAAGCTACTGCTATTCACCGTTAGTTTTTATTTTTATTTTGTTTTTTGGATATTTTGATAATTGATTATGACCGTTAGTTTTCTTTGGTAGAAACTAATTCAATCTAATTACAAATATAAATCTAACTATATTTTACAAAAAAAAAACGAATTCAATTTGAAAAATAAATAAGATAGTTTTTTTGGGTCAAGGTATGGTGAAAAAACATATTTCATTATATTTAATAAAACTAAAACCCTAGTAATAATAAAAACCTTTTTAAAAAAGGATGCTTTTTCATAATTATTAGTTTTATAACAAAGAACTTCTGATGTCATTTAATAGTACCATATTTTATAAAATCATGGAAAGAGAGCTATTAATACAAGATATATGAACTAGACCTGAGCAAAATAACCGAACCACGAGAACCGAACCGGAACCGAAGCAAAAAAAACCGAACCGAAATTTTAAAATACTCAAATGGATCCTAAATTTTAGAACCAAAAGAACCGGAACCAGAACCGAACCGAACCGAAATATTTCGGGTTCCCAAAAATACCCGAAATACCAACAAATATTTAGAGAATATAGCAAAAAATACTTAAAATATCCAAAAATATTCAAAAATATCCGCAAATACCCAAAAATATCCAAAATATCTAAAAATATCCGAAAGAAAATATCCGAATGGATCATAAACTTCAAAACCGAAAGAACCGGAACCGGAACCGGAACCAAACCGAAATTGTTTGGTTCCTATATGGATCATAAACTCTAGAACCGAAAAAACCGGAACCGAATTGGAACCGAACCAGAACCGAACGGATACCCGAACGTCCAGGCCTTATGAACCATGAAAGAATTAAAGAAATTAAAGAGCTGGCTTCTGGTTTTTGCAGGTAGAGTATATGCAACTTTATTGCTTTCTCATAATTAACTTAATGAATGATAAAATAATAAATAGTAAAAAAACTTATTTTTGGATTGCGAAACGAGCTAGAAAATAAGCAGTTTTTATAAAAACATTCATAAATTGTGATTAGTATCAACTGCTAATCTCTGAAACAAAACAAAAATAAATTAAATGGGTAACTTTTGTTTACATGAATTTTTAACTACGCACCACCGCTCTTTTGAATGACTAGTTACGAACTGATCACGACCCTAAAATTTAGAAAGAAATGAGGATTCTTATTAATTCCATCAACTAAACTGGTTACTATAATATAGCAACTACATGAATCATGATATAATATTTACTATTATATTTTCTTGGGACCAATAGTCCAATACGAGGTTGGTAATGGTCGTAATATAACGTCCACACTACAATGTTTGGCAAAAAAGACCCCACAAGATCGCTTGACAAAAAATATTCAATACCTTTTATTTATTTATTATCCAATAATATTTTCCAAATAGTGTGTTTTGCTGTTATTCTTACTGTTTGTCTTTTCTATCTGTTTTTTTCTTCATCATTATTTTTGTAAACTTATTCTTATCACTTATTTTAAATACTTAAATTTTCATGTCACGTGGCATTTTTTCATTGTTGCATTTCCACTAACTTGTCTTAGGGTATGCCGTGATTATTTTAAATTAAGTAAAGAAACAAAAACTTTCCTTTCTCAGAAATTAATTGGACAAATTTTCTATATCCTATAACAGTAGTTGATTTCGACCTCAACATACTATTTTATAATAGTCTACATTCATTGGAAGTATTTGAATCAATGGTGTTTAAACTCAATTTGGATGATTATAGCCTTAAGTCTCAATTTATATATCTCTTTCTTCTCGTCCTATAATCGGTACAATTGAAAGCTAATCAATAGTTGTTGTTGACCAAAAATATGCAATTATACGGAAATAAAAATATCAATATAAGAGAAGAAACAAAATTGAACATCCCTAACTTAAACTCACTACACATGATTTTCCTAAGATATCATAGTGAATAACGTTATTATTGGCTCATATTTGCAAAATAGAAATAGAGTCAACAAGTTCAAAACTCCATAGGAACACATGTAAGAGGATATTTTTGGAATTAGGATTTTGATTTTTGGGTTTTAGTTTCTCTTAACATAAATAACATGTCATATGCGTTTAGTAATTAATATACTTAATTACTTATATTCAAGCACACGGTAACTATTTTTTTTTATATATAGATAAGCAGCATTATATTTTAATAGTATATCACATGTTAACAGAGCCGTCCCTGAGAATTTGAAGACCACAAGCAACAAAATATAATTTTAGGCCTACTATTTGTAAAAAAAGATTAAAAATGAAAAAAAAAAAATGATAACAGAGTAGTGGATTCGAACCGAGCACCTGCACAAGCTATGACACACTTCAAACCACTAGACTACTTAAACATTATTGTTAAAAATGTGGCCGATTATATATATAGGGAATTTGGGGCCGCAAGCACAAGCTTGCCTTGCTTGGCCTCATGGCCGGCTCTGCATGTTAATATGATTAATAATATGATTCATAGAAACAAAATCCAATTTTTACAAACGTTACATGCAGTTTTGCATAAATCATCCAAATTTTCAACAAGATACATAATTGATTATGATCAGTGCATCACTGTTTCATATGGATTATCCAATTGTCATCGTATTTCAATCATCCAAACACTTTTGTTTAAACGCCGATGCATTTCAAAAGATGTCGTAGTATTCAATATGATCACACTGCCCCAATTTTCTATGAAGAAGAATTGCAGACCAGACTCCTTTTTGTTGCATCGACCATTATGCGTCAGAGGAATTACGTCATTCTGGTGGTAGAGTGCTTTATAGCGCGTGCATACACGCTCTTTTCCCACTTACACCAAATTAGGAAAGTTTGTTACAGAAAAAAAATCAATGGTTACCAATAAAAGGTCCGTTTTGGTGAAATGATAATTAAATATTTGCTTGACAATCAAGTTTTTTGTTTTATTATTTGTGGGCTCCAACAAAAAGACAGGTTGTTTCTTGTAAAGGTTACAGAAAAGAGAAAAGATTTTGCCGAGAATATCATTTGACCATTATAAAAGAGACTCTTGACCATTATAAAAGAGACTCACCAAATCAAAGTCACGTGCTCACTCGCATATTCAACAACTTTATATTTACTATTATTCAAATTATGTTCCTCGTAGTAACACCACTTTCTGGTTATTCTTCTTTTTTTTTTGGTAGGATCTGGTTATTCTTCTTTTATCTTAAATAAGAATTAGCTAGACAATAAAAAAAAAAAAAGAAGAAGTTAAACGTTTGGGTCTTAACATTCATTTTTTTCTACCATCAGATTTCGAATTTAGTAATAGAAATTTAACATACGTAAAAAAACACAAGAGTTAACCAAATGATATTGTTTTTTTTTCTCATTGTTGTTAGTTTGTTACATCTTTTTCTTTTTGATAAAAAAGTTTACTATTTAATGTATGAGAAAGAGATTGTTACAGCCAGCCCATGCTTGTTTGGGTTTAGCCCAATTACATTTTAACCATGTCAAAGTTACATAACAATTAACAAGAACAATTGAGTCCTTAGAACCATATTTTTTGCTTCATCAAAGAAAGTGAAACTGAAAACTTATTTCCATGTAGGAGCGTGTGGTCAATCAGAGATCTTTGGGCAATCACTGCTTATTCAAGTTTTCAAGGAAAAAAAGCGGAGATTAAAGTAAAAAATTTACATGTCCTTGATAAGTTACAAGGGATCCCAGAGTATTCATTAGTAACCACTATCTACATACTGTATATACTAAGTACTAACGAGTATGAAATACTAGGTACGATTCCATCTCTAAATCTAAGGATATATACAGAAATAGTAGTGTACCGATCGAGGGATCAAAATAGACCTATTTGGCAGTTCACTTCATTGAAACTGTGAAGATGATGAGTCTATTTTGATCCGTCGATCGGTACACTACTATTTTGATCCTCTGTTATTCTTATCTTTTTACTTTGATGATGAGTCTTTCCCTTTTGTGTTGATTTTACATTATTCTTGTTCTATCGAAGGGTTTTTCACTTTGCTGAATGTTTTTCTTGTTTTTTATTATTATTTTTCAGGCTAACAGAGGAGCTATCTAATGTCTAATTAATATTTGTGTGATAATTAACCTGAGTACATTGCTATAACGAGACTTGTACTTTTTACTATTAGCTTTCTTTTTCTCGAGAGAACTTATTAATAATTCGGATTCTTTTAGAATGATCTAAGAAGTATAAAAATTATATTACAGAAAAATAAGTACACAAATTTTAGAAACAACCATTCGTTAGTTTAGTAAAACTTTATGGCCTAAATGCATATTTCAACTGTATAGTAGATTCCACCCGTCCATACTTTTTTTTGTATCAATAGATTTGTGTTGCGGCATGTCCCCTAAGCAATTCAAGTCATCTAGGACTCAAATAGATTGAAAAATAACAGAGTATCTCTCGGTTCCCACACCTTGTGGCATATAATAAAAGCTTCTACTCCAATCTGTGAAGAGAACAAAATCAATGTAAAAACCAACCATACAAGTTATTATCATATGTAAAAGCCCTTGCAGATATATATATCAGTACCTTTGTTTCTTGAAATCTTTCTCGACATCTTTCTTGATAATTCCAATGCATTCCACTATCAAAACAATCCAAAATACTAAAGTCTCAAGAAAATAGAGATGGAAGCTCACAAGCTAAATCCAAATCCATCTTCCATGGTGAAAGAGAAAAAATATTCCACAATGAATCCATAAAAACAATTACTTTTGTCATATGGAAAACAAAAGAAGATTAGAGATACCTTCTTGATTGGGTTTCGCCTGCAAAAGACATACTCAGTCACGATATCTGTCTCGTGGCGAACCCTTGTTTGGAAGAGTTTTATCAAGTTATCATAAGGATCAACAACTTCAAATGTTATGAGAAACATATATGCACAACACCAGTGAAAGTTTGCTTTCACAACCTTGACAAACTCAAATTTTGTTCTCTGTTTTTCAAACAAAGATGGAAAAGAATCGATCATACATAAATGCAAAGCACAAGGCATATACATATAACATATTTAGGTTAGTTCTCACAGATTCTTGATTGTAGTCATCAAGGGCCTTCCTAGAGAGCCTCTCGAGTAAATCCCTAGTGGTTTCTGTTGGCTCCTCAGCGAATTCATCTGAGTCGAGATAAGCAAGATGGTAGTTGAAGACACACCGGAACTGTGTGTAGTCGATATCAAACCCCTGTTGTTTCACAAACTCTCAATTTCACAAATTTATCTATAGAGCTCATTATTAACCAAAAAAATCATAAGGAAAACAAATAATGAAATACATCGCTCGCAAGGATTTGTTTGTCGAGTAAGGCCAGTTCTTCCTCTGGTGAGTACTTAGGCTCATCTTCCTCCTCGGTCCAATCCCTATACGCAGGTCTCTCATAGCCAGGATCCTCAGGTTTCCACAGCAGAATTGCAGAAACCCTGGTTCGAGCCATTTAATCCAGCCTGAGACATATCATAGGAATTGATCAGGAGAGAGTATATAAAATAAACCCTAACTTTTAAGGAAACGAATTCCGAATCGTACCTTCAAATTCACTCATCGCCCTGTGTTACGTTGATGAACCCTAACTTATAATAAGTATAAGAGCCCTAACTTCAGGAACTATCTACAGTAATGTCCTAACTATTTCCCATTTATTTCACTCAAGTCCCTTTTATTTATTGATCTTTCGTCTTTTGCCCTCGTATTGTTTTGTTTTGTTAGACTACCCCATCAAAATACATTAGAATACCAAACGATTGTGGCATGAATAAGAGATTTTCAATTTTCAAATCTTCTATATATTAAGAGAGAGTTTTTTTTTGTGATAATGTGTCAATAACGATGATATTTGTCTGTCTTTATTTTTTTTTTTTTTTTTTTAAATTTTAATATATGTAGTACTTCTTGAAAACTCGCATTTTTTTCCTCATACAAATTATTGTAATGGTATAGTGAGTCTTATAGTATCTTTCGATTTTGCTTATTCGGTTCTTTTCATATTCTTGAAAAGGGAACTTCGGATTGAGCTAGAGGAGTCGACGTGAAGGAGAAGTTGGGTTATAAGGGTTTGAATAATTGTGATCATTAAACAATAAGTAGAGAGAAAGAGAAAAACAATTAAGTATTTACACGCTTGTGACTTGGGATGTAAGCAATCAACATTTCTAAGCGATTAATTTATGAAAGTACCAAAAATTCCATTGAAATGGAACTTCGACTGAAAAAGCAAAAAAAATTATGACTATTAATATAATTTTAAACAAATGACAACACAACACCTCATATTATTTGGTTTAGACCATCTAAATCCTTGTTGGCAAAAGACTATCTAAATCCTTATATATCTATAAAAAAATTAGGAAATTAAATCGAATTACACACTAAGAACAACAACAAACAAACTTTAAATACCCCACTTTTCCCTCTAATCCTCGTGGATTTGGTCATCACTCGTTATCCAATAATCCCAAAAATAGCAAATGAATCATCTCTCTTTTTTTCTAACAAGATCTTTTTTTATTTGGTCAAAAAAGGTGTTAAAGTTTGTTCTAACAAGTTATATAAACCCTCACGAATTCAAGAAACCAAACAAAAGAAAAAAAAGCTCTCTCTTTCTCTACCTTTTTCCTTAATTTTACTTTTGCGGCGTCGTTCTTATCTACTCACAAGAAGGCAACCGATCAATAACTCCCAAATTAAAGAAAGACTCAAACTTTTCTCTCTCTCTTTCTTAAATAGTGAAGAAAGCTTCGATTTTGGGAAGTGGGTTTGTGTAAAAATGGGTTCTTCTGTGGAACAGAACATTTTGGTGACTGGTGGTGCTGGATTCATTGGAACACATACTGTTGTTCAGCTTTTGAATCAGGGTTTTAAGGTTACGATCATTGATAATCTTGATAACTCTGTTGTTGAAGCTGTTCATAGGGTTAGGGAACTTGTTGGTCCTGATCTCTCTACCAAGCTTGAATTCAATCTGGTTAGTACCCAAAAAAAAGCTTCCATTTTTATATCAATATGGCTATTTTTGGAATCAAGATTGTATTTTTATCATAGATTCTTAGTTTAGTAATCTTTTGGCTTGTTAGATTTTGAATGTTTTGATTAATTGCAGGGTGATCTAAGAAACAAAGGAGATATTGAGAAACTCTTTTCTAATCAGAGGTATTGTGAAAATTTTTGAAACTGAGATTATGCAAATTGTTTATTCATGTGAATTGATTTTAATATTATGATTCTTTTGTGAGGGGGAAACAGATTTGATGCTGTGATTCACTTTGCTGGTCTTAAAGCTGTGGGAGAAAGTGTTGGAAACCCTCGTCGTTACTTTGATAATAACTTAGTTGGAACTATCAATCTATATGAAACCATGGCAAAATACAACTGCAAAATGGTAAAGATCAAGATCCTTCACTTTTGAAAATGTGTTTCTTGTTCTAGTTTAGTTACCAAGTTGTTCTGATTCTGGAATTTTTTACACAGATGGTGTTTTCGTCGTCTGCAACGGTTTATGGCCAACCTGAAATAGTCCCATGTGTGGAAGACTTTGAGTTACAGGCTATGAATCCTTATGGTCGTACTAAGGTACTTCAGACCTCAAATCTGTTTTGTTCTGTTTTGTGTTCATAATCTTGAAAGTTATATCATTTATGACTGAGATTTTGAAAACATTTGATCTATTTGTGTAGCTGTTTCTTGAAGAGATAGCTAGAGACATTCATGCTGCAGAACCAGAATGGAAGATAATTCTTCTGAGGTACTTCAATCCGGTTGGAGCTCATGAGAGTGGAAGAATTGGAGAAGATCCAAAGGGCATACCGAATAATCTCATGCCTTATATCCAACAAGTTGCGGTTGGACGATTACCTGAACTCAATGTATATGGACATGACTATCCTACTATGGATGGCAGCGCGGTATAACATCGATAATACCGTTTCTTTATGCAAAAATTCGGTTTTCATTTCTGATGATAGATTGATAAAATAAGGTACACTTGACACTTGCAGGTCAGAGACTACATACATGTAATGGATTTAGCAGATGGCCATGTGGCTGCATTAAACAAGTTGTTTTCAGACTCAAAGATTGGTAAAATCTCTATACGACTTTTAACTGTTTGTTTTTTATTTGATGGAGTCAATCAAAGTTTAGAGTTTTAATAATGTTTTGTATGTGTTGGTGTGTCATCTTAATCTTAGGCTGTACTGCTTATAATCTTGGGACTGGTCAAGGAACTTCTGTCTTAGAGATGGTTTCTGCTTTTGAAAAAGCTTCTGGCAAGGTAAGATTTTCTCTTTCTCTAATTGCTCATGAATTTTGTGTGAATGAGACCGAAGATTTGGTGTCTGAAAATGCTCTAAACCATTTGTTTTGCAGAAAATCCCTATCAAGCTATGTCCAAGAAGAGCTGGAGATGCAACAGCTGTTTATGCTTCAACTGAGAAAGCTGAGAAAGAACTTGGGTGGAAGTAAGTCATCGGTTTTACCATTTCCGCATTTAAATCTTTTTCGATCGGATATGAACTCGACTTCAGTTAAATTTCTATGCAAAGTTCATGTTCATGGCCTCATGGATATAAAACTGACTAGATATATGGTTTAACAGAGAAGTATATTGAATCTTGACATGAATTTCAAGAACCATACTTTGAATACTTTTCAGAATTTTTATCTTTATCTGTTGAGTTATTATGAACATAAGATTAATTCTTTGTTTTTCTTTCTTAGGGCAAAGTATGGAGTTGATGAGATGTGCAGAGATCAATGGAATTGGGCAGATAAGAATCCATGGGGTTTCCAGAAAAAGCCTTGAAATGTTTTTTTTTTTGTTTCACCACTCAAATATAAAGAAAAATATATATAGATGTCGATTTATTTTCCTGCATCTATTTTATTTCTCTCTTCAAAAAAAGTTGTATTGAACTCTTCATCTTTCGGTTAATAAAGTATAACGTTTATCTACATTGCGTAATACTAACTAGTCGTTATAATCAACGAATCATTCATTTAGTATAAGCAGAAGCGTTCTCAATTCAGGATTGAATAGGAGAAAAAAGATGTTAACTTGTTGAGCAAGTAAGAACCAAAACATGTTAACAAGAGTCAACAACAACAGAACATACAGACTCCAAACAAAAAGCAACTAAAATGTGTAAACATATAACAAGCAATGTAAAACTACAAGTCTGCAAATTGATTAAATGTCGAACCCTTTTTTTTTTCTGGGTTCCTCAGCTGCTAATGATACAGATATTCGCATATTTGCAAGTCTTCTCTTCTTACTGTTCTAGACTTCCTCGCCTTCTTCGTAGTTGCTACTCTTGAGGATGTTGTATTTGCAGAGGGGACAAGTAGCGTTTATGTAAAGCCATTTGTCCACACAACCACAATGGAAATGGTGGCCACAAGGAAGTTCTCTAAGCTCTGTCTCATCTTCATAAGCCGAAAGACAGATGCAGCATTCCTGTAGATTGACAAAAGCAAAATCCGGCTTTGTTCGTCAAAATCCAAACAGAGTATAGCCATAACATAATATGCAGAGGTTTACAGGTTACTAATAGAAAGAAGAGTGATTTTGAGTGTTACTTACTGCATCCTCATGAGGAAGAGTATGTTCGACTGGTGAATCTGTACCACATTCAGTCATCAGTCCTCCTGAATCTCCTTGTTCTTCATCAACAGTGTGTTTCACAGAATCACCAACCTTTCGGAATTTGAATTTAGTAAGTTGGTCAATGTCTTCTTTCGAAGCTCCTTCCTGCATTTTCAATAGATTTTCATTGGAACAAATCCAACTTTCTTGGAGGTAACAAAAGAAACAGGTTATAAGAAGCTACCTGTTCTGCAACGGCGTATAGAACTGCAATGATGCAAGGCAAGCAGCAGCAAACAGCAATGCCAATAACACAAGCCAATGCAACGCAGAAAACCACAAAGAACACATCGAAACCAAGAAATACTATACATAACCTGTAAAAACAAAGACATCCAAACAAATTGAAGGAGCTTGAACACTTAAAACAGTCCCGAGAATGTAAGAGATATGAAAGAAGTGAACAACAAACCAATAAAGCTGAGGGGATCCTTGCGCTAACTCTTGGCCACCAGAAGATACCCAGTAGAATCCAATAACCCACCATATAAATGAGATCATCGTATTTGCAGATTCTAGATGCTTAGCAAAACTGGTTACAGAAAACACTGCTTTAGCCAAAATTAAAATCACATATAAGACAATATCTGCATCACAATCACTAAAGCTTAAAACCAATATACCTGTTGTTTTCATTCTCTAATTGACCTAGCTCCAAGTAACGATCATCTGAGTTTCTACTCAAACCCAAACCATCTTCTTCCTCCATAGAAGAAGAGCTAGATCTTGGACTCATATCTCTTCTTCTTCTACTATTCCTCCTACGATACTCAACACAAACACAAACCATATGCATCATACATTGCAACCCATACCCAATAACCCAAACCCTAAGAGGCATATTCGGATTCTCATCGCTGCTAAGTACCAAAACAGCTGTAGCAACGGCGACAAAAGCAAGATTCCAAACGAAATCCAAAACCACTACAGGTTTCGAATAAGCCCAATCGCTTTGTCTCTCTTCAAGCTGCTCAGCCGCAGCTTCACGAACAAGCATCGATGGTTCTCTCATCATCATTCTTCCGCTACTTGCATGTCTTAATAACCTCGCCGCTTCTCTTAACCCTTGTCTCCTCACCGATCTCCCTCCTCCTCCGCCGTCGGTTAAAATCAAAGGCGTTGCTTCCGTCGTCGTCTCTGTTGACATTTTCTCTCTCTCTTCAAAGTCTCTTCCTTTCTTCGAAATTTCAAAAATTGATATTGAATTGATGAAATTGGTGAAGCTTTACGCCATTAAATTGGGGCAATTTCAATCTCAGAGACAAATTCGGATTTGCTAGGGTTTCGATTCGAACAGAGAGAGAGAAAGAGAAAGAGGATGAGTCGGACAAATCGGAAAACGTGATGTTTGAAAAATCAAAATTTTAATTTATTTAATGTCTCCTCAAATGCCAACCAGAGAAATTAGCGGGACATATATGTAATAGTGAGTTCTTTTCAGTGGCTAAATGGTCAAATTACAGTTACTTGGTCCAAAAAGGGTGGACAAAAACCAAACCAAACTAAACCTAAATTTATTCATTTGAACTAAATCCGAATTGTGAAACTGTATAAAAATTTCAAAATTAATTGAATTTTCAAATTTTTTGTTGGTGTCGGATCTCGTTATCCATCCGACCCAAAGAAAAAGTGGGTATGGGTCGATCGGCAGATGGATCAAGCCCGTTTTTAGAAATTCGAAGTGATAATTGAAAACATTTGTCTGGACAAAACGGTAGAATTTTTTGGTGTTAAATAAATAACGTTTGCGGAGCATGAGTGACTCCATCTTGGTAGCGGAAGTAACATCCAAGGCATGATTCGCGGCACAAAATAAACTAGTATTTAATATCGTAATTTGGAAGGAGTAAGAAAAACACTATTACGAACAATATAAAACACTGTTCACTTTTTATTTTTGTCCGAAATTTTGATATAACTCAATTCACGAGGTAGAGAACCCCAAACTCTTCACAAATCTTTAAGTATAGATTACATAATTTTTAGCATAAATTTTTAACCCAAAACCGAACTAAATCTAAATCTAACTCAAATCCAAACCAAACTGTAAATTTTTAATTGAAAAAACCTTATTTTATACCTAAATAAACCAAATATTAAATTTATCGAACCGAACCGGGCATATATGTAATAACGAGTATTTAAAGGCGGGGGGCCATATAGTGAAATTTGGTACAGAATTCGGATTCTTGTATTTTTGTAGGCCCTTTAATGCAAACTAATCGTATAATAAAAGTAAAACCCTTAATCGGATCCTCCACCAATTTTCCCTCCAAGCCAGAAAACCCCCAAATCTCACCGGTCGGAGACTCCTTCTCTTCCGACTGATAATGGCGGCGTCTTCTTCTTCAACCTCTTCCGACGGCGGATACAATAACCCATGGGTGGAGAAATACAGGCCGAGCAAAGTAGTTGATATCGTTGGAAACGAAGACGCCGTCTCCAGACTTCAAGTCATTGCTCGCGACGGAAACATGCCTAATCTAATCCTTTCCGTGAGATTCACTCTTCTATTGACATTCTTTGATTTAACCCTCCTCGAATTTGCGAAAAAGTTTTAGGTTTGATGAAAATTTTCTCAATTAGGGCATTTTGGGTTTGTGCCATGTGTAGATTTCAGGATAAAGTTTGGATTTTTAGGGTTTTTGATCAATTTCTATGTCTGTTAAAGTTAATGAAGTGTATTGTAAGTTTGATTTCTAAGTGGATTCTGTGTTTTGTATTTACTTGTGGAGAGACTTGATATATGATTTAGTGTTTTTTTTTTTCTGTTGTATATCCTTAGGGTCCTCCTGGAACAGGTAAAACCACAAGCATTTTGGCTCTTGCTCACGAGCTTCTTGGCCCGAATTATAAGGAGGCTGTTCTGGAGTTGAACGCATCTGATGATAGGTATGTTCGTATGTGAGGTCAATCTTTTTACATATGGGATGTTGTTCCTTCTTCGTTCGTTGTTTGGTTAAATATATTCTGTGTGGTATTGTGTTCTGTTATGGTTGTAGGGGTATTGATGTTGTTAGGAACAAGATTAAGATGTTTGCGCAGAAGAAAGTAACACTTCCTCCAGGGCGTCATAAGGTTGTCATTCTAGATGAAGCTGACAGGTTAAGTGCTGCTAAGTTTGTGGCTTTTACTTGAGTCTTTCTTCTCAAGTTGAATTGTTCCAGTCAAGTTTTTTTTTTGACTCATTGCGTCTTTCTGAATGCGGTTTGTAAAATTAGCATGACATCTGGAGCACAACAAGCATTGAGGAGAACGATTGAAATCTATTCGAACTCAACACGGTTTGCACTTGCTTGCAATACGTCATCCAAGATTATTGAGCCCATTCAGAGTAGATGTGCCTTGGTTCGATTCTCTAGATTATCTGATCAGCAGATACTAGGCCGTCTTTTAGTGGTGGTTGAAGCAGAGAATGTATGGTTTGCCACTTTTCTTTCGTTCCACATGTTTACTTACTGCAATTTTGAAAATATTCTAATTGCTTGTGTTTTTCAATCTCTCAAGGTTCCGTATGTACCCGAAGGCCTTGAGGCGATAATCTTTACAGCTGATGGTGACATGAGGCAAGCTCTGAACAACTTGCAAGCCACATTCAGCGGGTTTCGGTTTGTCAACCAAGAAAACGTCTTCAAGGTTCGAAACAAAACCTTAATTCACTGAGCTTATAAAACACATTAGTTTCATATCATCAATCGAAGATCTCATTACTTGTCTTCCCCTTTCTCTTTTCCAGGTCTGTGACCAGCCTCACCCGCTTCATGTCAAGAACATTGTTCGCAATGTGCTGGAAAGTAAGTTTGACGATGCTTGTCACGGTTTAAAGCAACTCTATGATTTGGGCTACTCTCCAACCGACATTATCACAACGCTTTTCCGTATAATAAAGAATTACGATATGGCTGAGTATCTGAAACTTGAGTTCATGAAGGTATACATCTAATTCTCCTTGACAGCTCAAAACATCCAAACTTTTGTCTAACACCAATGCTTTTCTTCAGGAAACTGGATTTGCGCATATGAGAATCTGTGATGGAGTTGGATCTTATCTTCAGCTATGTGGTCTTCTGGCTAAATTATCCATTGCTCGTGAAACAGCGAAAGCACCTTAAGTTAGGTAACTTTCAGTCTTCCACTCATCTGTAGTGATGAACCGTTGACTGGTTTATGTTTAAACCGATTTGGTTAACCCTCGTTGTTTGAGAATTCGGATAGATCTTGGAACTTCCTTGCTGCTTTACTCTGTTTTCTAGATTTGAATGGCTTGTGAATGTTTATGAATATTATCTTTGAAGCTTAATCCTAACCAATTTGGTATATCGGTATTCTTACAAATAGAAAATCTGGATTTCGGCGGATTTATTTTATATTTTGTTTAAATCACACAAATGAAAAAGAACCAATACACAAACTATTTTACACATTATATGAAAAAAAAGTCCATATAGTATGAGTGATGAATTTTATTGGTAAAATGTTGAAATTATTTGTGTAATTCGATAACGCTATATGAGAAAACATGACAAATGATTTCACAACGAAGAAAACCCGAATCAGAAGCTAGAGTCTCAAATTGTGAAAGAGTCCTCTCCTTACCACCTGAGCTTTGTGTTAACATCAACATGTCCATGGCTAACACAACGTTAGAAGAAATATCGTTGATCTTTGGTTCCACTGGCGTAACCATCTCGACTATTATCACCTTTCCTTTATTGGAAAGACTTTTCCAACAGTTTTTTAGAATCTTTACACAATCTTCGTCAGTCCAATCATGTAGTATCCACTGTCAATCATTTCATTTCATATAGTTACTATATGGTTGACTATGGAGTTATTTACGTAGCAATAGGTACTTACCTTCATGAAGATGGCATCTCCTTTTGGAATTTCTTTAAACATATCTCCTGAAACATGCTCCACTCCTAGATATAACCGATGTTAATGAAGTACTATTGAGCAAGATAAATAATTTTAAGAGTTATAACTTGCTAATTTTCTTACTTAGTATACCTTTATGAAGAGGAGCATGGACTAAAACCGATGCTAGATCGAAATTGACGCCTTTAATATGAGGATACTTGGAAGTCACTAGACCTATGACGGTTCCAATTCCCCCTCCCACATCCACCAAAGTATTTACATCTTCGAATCCTTTGTAAACTTCTAAAACCTTCTTCATAATTAATCTGGAAGCTTCCGACATTGCGTGGTTAAACATCTCAGCAAATTGTTCATTCGAACCAATGTGTTCGAAAAACTTCATGCCATGAGCAGAGCTGAATGCATCTTTTCCTTCTAATATCACATCTTTGAGATGTGCCCTAGGAAAAATATATTATCATTTTTAGTTAACGTTACGAGTATATATATATATATAGAGTATTTTGTGAATAATGAAGTAGGAAGTACCAACTCTTCAAACAGACTTCGCCTTGGAGTACCATGAACAAAGTGGCGAGAGACCCCGAGCCATCTCCACGGTTCAAGAAAAACGTGCAAACCGGTTCAGCTGCATAGACCCTCTCCGTCTTTCTACTTCCGATGTCCTCTCCGTTTTCTACCGTACGGTACTTCAAGATTGAGTGGCTGGCTAATAAAACCAGCATCCGATCTAGCAATACTGGTGCCTCCGGATTGGTCGGCTTGGTTGGAAGGCCAAGAGCGATCTCAGAAGGCGAGAGCCACACGCCGTCATCTACAGAAGTGATCATGTCGATAACGCCAAGCTCCAAAGCGGCTTTGAGAACCATGGGGAAGGCCATGGCATGCAAGATCCTCTCCGCTTGCAAGCTCACCGTATCTTCATCAAAACGTTGTTCTTCTTTGATTAAATCCGGTTTAGGAATGGTGGTTAAGGAATGTTGAATATGGTTCGCCATTGTTATTGTTGGTTAAAAATTTGAGAAAGATGGTAAGAGAAAGTTGGTTTCAAGTTTCAACGTACTTACTGTCACTTTTTATACGGAGAAAGCTCACCAACATTATGCGTAATATTTTATAGCTAAATATTTAAATTAATGAGAATATTACACGTATTTTTATTGTAGAATTAATATTCGTGTAATATTTTAAATGATTTAGGTGTACGAAGAATATGTAGAGATTTGTTTTCAATTTTAGTGTGCGTTCATCAGTACAACTTTCCTAATTGAATGTGAATGTCGTGATCATACTCATTGAGTGTGAATTGTTGGTAAGTACTAAGTAGTATAATCTATGATTAATCTTTTCACAGTACAATATAGTCTAACATTAATTAACACTCCATTTTAAGAAAATGTGAATTTATATGCTTTGATGGATTCATTGATGCAACTATTTTTGTTTTGGTTTGAGGACACTTTTAAGATAACA